AAAAAAAAAACCCCTTCTTATTCATATTCCCCTATCTTTTTTGTTAACCTCATTTTTATGCCTTGGGCGTCCCCGCGATTGACAGCCAGCCAGCGACAACCCTACAATCGCGACAATCCGGCGGCTTGTGCGCCGCCTGTTGGCTTGGTTAACGATCACCACACCCGCCCAAATGAGGAGGCCCATATGCCCAGCTATCCGAAAGTCATGTATAAAGAGGAGGGGATGCGCGAAGGGATGCAGATTGAGGACGCCAACATTGCTGTTGACGATAAAATTGAACTCCTCGACCAGCTTTCCGACTCCGGCCTGAAGAACATCGTGGTCGGCTCCTTCGTCAGCCCCAAGTGGACCCCGCAGATGGAGCGCATTGACGAGATCGTCACCCGCTTCACCCCCAAGCCTGGTGTCACCTACACTGCGCTGGCCCTGAATTCCCGCGGCGTCGAGCGCGCCCGCGCCTACTCGCCGCCCCTGACCATAGAGCGCGACTCCTATCCGCGCCTGTCGTGCCACATGTGCGACGTGTTTACCCGCCGCAACACCAACCGCAGCCAGATGGCGGAAATGGAGCGCTGGCCCCAGATCGTGGCCCAGGCCCAGGAACTCAACATCAAGGAAGCGGGCATCGGCTGCAACGCAAGCTGGGGCTCCAACTTCCTGGGCGAGTTCCCGGTGGACAGCTTGATGACTCTGCTGGAAAAAGAACACAACATGTGGGACGAGGTGGGCATCAACGTCCGCAGTGTCTCCATGGGCGACCCGATGAGCCACTGCACCCCGGCCAAGGTCGAGGAGAGCTTGGTTCGGGTCAAGGAGCGCTGGCCGGAGATTGACCACTTCCGCCTGCACCTGCACAACGGGCGCAACATGGCCATCGCCTCCGCCTACGCCGCCATGCGCACTCTCGGCCCCGACGACACGCTGGAGCTGGACGGCACCATCGGCGGTTCGGCGGCTGTCCCTACTGCGGCAACGGCCGCGCCACCGGCATGGCCCCCACCGAAGACCTGCTGCACATGATGGACGACATGGGCATCGAGACCGGCGTGGACATCGACAAGCTCATTGACTGCGTCTGGACCGCAGAGCGTATCATCGGGCGCGAGCTCTATGGCCACGTCTCCAAGGCCGGCCCCCGGCCCAAGACCGTGGACCAGCTCTACGACATAAACGCCCCGTTCATCGAGACCCTGGAAGAAGCCAGGCACTTCAAGAAGGGCCCCGAGGTCTACGAGGGCGGCATCTACCCCTACAACGAGCCCATCACCAGCCCTTACCGAGACCGGCTCGAGCAGGGCCTCCCGGCCTTCGACTCCGCCGAGGGAGACTTCCCTTGGAAGCAGGACTGGTTCCCCTCCAAAGAGGACTAGGTCCCTGCTCCATCTCAGGAACAATTACGCCGCCGCACTCTCTGCGGCGGCGTTCACAATTTGACCGATGGCGAGTACAATGGGTGCCGCATAGACCCTTCATCGTCGTGCAGTATGAAGAGCCTCAACGCATGCACCTGATCTTCGGCAGCCGCGCCACACCGCTCTCCGCCTTCTTCGAGGGAATGGTGCGCGTCTTCGACTGGGGGATTCTTCTGCTCATGATGCGCCGGAAGCAACGGCGTGCGTTGTTCGAGAACGGGGACCTGCAGCGAGGCCGTCGGGTGGTCGACAGGTATATCAATGAGGCCGTTGCCGATTTCGAATCCGAGGAGGCCGACAGCCTTTCAGAGGTCCCGTTCATTCCCCGCAGGGGATGTGCCATCGCCGACATTGTCCTCGGACCTCTACCTACCGACGAGGTGATGGTTCGCTACGAGCAGATCGTTCAAGGCGCAGTCGACAGGATAATAGGACGGGCCTCCGACCGCCTGAAAGACGACTCGGAGGCCGAAATCAGGCACTTCGACAATCTCTGCAGGCAAGGGTCAAGGGGCATGGTTGTCGGCTTGGTGATCACCTTGTTGTTTGCCGCCATCGCCCTTGTCCTCGTTTACTCCAACCTCTTGTGGGCCGGGTTGGTGCTGGTGGGAATCAATATCGCCCTTGGTCTGGCAGCTACGGTTTACGTGACCAAGGCCGGTCTGCGCCGCAAATGGTTCACAGGGGAATTCTTTCCCAGGCTGTTTTTCAGCAAAAGCGGGTACCCCGTAGAGAAAATAGCAAGACAGGGAGCTGACTCATGACTTCTGCAAACCCAATTGACCCAAACACCATCCGCCTGACCGGCGAGAATTCCTTCATTCGCCTGGTGGAGGGAGAGGAGCAAACAACCCGGTCCAGTCACTGGAGGGTCCTCTATTCCCCCGCCGGTGCTGGCCACGTTCTGTTCATCAAGAGCGACCTGGTGGACGGCGTACGCGTTTACGCCGACAACATCGCCCTCGCCCGTTGGCTCCAGGAAGAGATCGAGAGCCTGCTGTTCCCGGAGTTCGCCGACCAGTCTCTCCAGGTACTAGAGGCGGAGTTCACAAAGAAGGGCGACACCTACACTTTCTGGACTGAAACCATAGAGAGCGACGACGACCAGATCACGCTGACCTGGTACAACTTCCTGGAGCCGTTCATGCTCACGGTTCCTGCTGGCAGTGCTCCCGGCCGGCCCCATGGCGTGTACAGCTGCTTCATCCCATGCCAATCAGGCCGCATCACCGTGAATGGTGAGGACGCGGATGGCGAGGTGGCCCTGGAAATGCGCGGCGAGAAGCAGAGCAGCACCGCCTGCCTGGCCTGGTCGGAGACCTGGGTCCGCCCGTAGTGTCAGCAAGATAGGGGAGTTGGCTGTCCTGCGGCGCAGCATCAAAGTCGTCATGGCGATTTGGGGCCAAGCCGCCGCAGTTTCACTCAACACTTCATATCATGCTTTGGACGTCCTCCCAGTGGCCTTTTCTTATTCGTTAGCTTCACCAGACTGCTGGCGGGACTATTTCGTTTTCCGGTTCAGGAATACAGATTTCCTCCGTGTCCGGAAAGCGGGAATCCAGAGCAGCGTCCTCTACCCGTTATTTACTGCAACTACTACTGTGTTTGCCCCGTGGAAGCCGCTATCGTGTTCAGGCTCTTTGCAGGAATGATGGCGGCGCTCATGGCTGTCATCATCTTCCGGCTCCTCAGAGTCAAGCATATGCCCAGCGTGAGCGCCCATCCCTTCCACAACTTCCGCCCGCTCTATCCTCAGATCAGCGAGTTCAGCGACCACCTCATCGGGAGTCGTCAGTGAATCCAGGTCTTCCTGCGCCCACCCGGAGGGTGGTGACGATCGATCATGGCTTACGAAGAGGAGCCTGCCGCCCGGAGACAAGGCTTCAACGGTGCTGGAGAGCATCTGCGCCCGCTGCTCTGGGCTTAGCTGTATGTAGAAGGACGTGATCAGGTCATACTGACCATTGGGGCCGATACGCAGTCACGTCCGAAACAATGAACTCCACTTCAACTCGCCTGTCAGCAGCCCGGACCTTCGCCTTTTCAAGGGCAACGCCAGAGAAGTCAATCGCAGTAACCTGCCAACCGCGCTCTGCCAGCCATACGGCGTTTCCGCCCAAGCCGCATCCCAGATCGAGTGCGCGCCCCGGCTTAAGGCCCTGGGCATACTCTGCCAGTAGTCCGTCAAAATCGGCGAAAGTATGGCCCGCAGTGGACCAGATGTCGTTCCAGAATTCCACGGTATCTGATTTCATTGATTGGTTCCTGAATGACTGCAATGCGCCTTCGACGTGGCCCCGTTTTTCAGCCTTTTTGTCCGTAGATAACGGCTGCATCGTGACTGGGGGAGTCTCGAATCGGAAGGCGCCGGACTCAAAGTCTCAGGCCCGCGCTGCGGGATTACGTGCTGACACCGGAATCGAAGTAGTAGAAGGCATTGAGCCGAGTGTGGCCTCCGCGCCTGTCCGCTACCACCCCGGCGCACCCGGCGGCAAGCCCAGAGTCACGCGGCCGCCCTGCTCGAAGTTTGTGAGCAGGGCCGCCAGCGTGCATCATTGCCGCGTGGACGTCCCGGAAGTAGCGCTCGAGCAGGTTGCTGCTGCGCACGGCGTTGGTCCCGGAGGCGTGGTATAGCATATCGATGGCGCGTACCGATTCATGCACCGCATGGGTAATCGAAAGCCTGGCCTGAAACACCTCGTCGCCCAGGTCCCCTTTACCCGCCTGGATTGCCTCCCACATCGCGCCCACCGAGTCCAGTACGTAGGCGCGCGCACCGCTGATGATCGCCTCGGCCCGGCCCACCACCTCCTGCACCGGCGGACGGTCGCGGAGCAGGTTCATGTTCATTGTCGTGGCCCTGGCTCCGGCCAGATCCTTGAACGCGTCCAGGGCTCCCCGCGCCATGCCCAGCGTGTTACCGGCCAGCGGCGTAAAGGTGACCGCCATCGCAGACCGGAAGGTGCACAGCGGAGCAGTGTCCACGGGGTGGTCGGTGAGGGCGAAGGTACGGTTCTCGGGCACGAACAGATCCGAGACTGCCACGTCGTTGCTGCCTGTGCCGTGCAGACCGATGACGGACCAGTTGTCGACGATCCTGCCCTCTTCTATGGGCACGGACATCATCCGCAGTTGCGGAAGCCCATCCAGCGGGCCTCCGACGTTGAGACGGGGGCCGTTGTCATCGGCGACGACGCAGTTCAGGAAGAGCCAGTTGGCATGGTTGCAGCCACTGGCGAAGTCCCACTGGCCGGTGGCAATGTAGCCGCCGTCGGTGATTCGCGCGGTCCCCAGGGGGCGGAAGGAGCCAGCACCCCGCAGGGTGGACGGGTAGCCGAACAACTCGCGGGCCACTCCGGTTTCGAGCCAGCCGGAATACATCCCGATTGAGCCGGCGATGAAACAGCACCAGCCCGCCGAGCCATCAGCCATCGAGACCTGTTCCACCGCCCGGAAGGCGGTAAGCGGATCGAGTTCCGCGCCGCCAAGAGAGCGGGGCACGAAGGGTCGGAACAGGCCGGCCTCGTCCATCGCCGACGCCAGCGAAGGCGGCAGACGATGGTGCCGGTCCATCTCGTCCCGTGATGCAACTATTTGTGGCCGCAGCGCCTTTGCTGCGGCCACAATATCTTGCTGGGATGCGGTCGTCATGTGTACGCCCTCACCCTGATCCCTCTCCCGGGGGAGAGGGATTCAAAAGTCTTACTCCCTCAAACAGGAGAGGGAGATTGATCGGCCCTACACCGTGGTGCAGGCGATGGCCTTGACGTTGGCGGCCATACCCGGTAGGTCGTGCCCCTGCCAGGAGGAGCCGCCGTCGTGGGTGCCGAAGACCTGGCCCTTGCGGGTGCAGAAGTACACGGTACTCGGGTCGCGCTCGTTGACTGCGATGCCGAAGGTGGTGCTGGACGGCTTTCTACGCCCTGGTCGAACCGGCTCCAGGTATCTCCGGCGTCGGTGGAGCGCAGTATGCCGCCCTCTTCGCTTCCGAAGTTCAGGCCAATGCAGGCGTAGAGGGTGCTGGGGTCGTTGGGTGCGACCTCGACGCCGCGGGAGTAGCGGATGTTGGAGAAGTTGTCGAACTGGAGGTCGTCCCAGGTCTGGCCCCGGTCGCGGGTGCGCCAGACGCCGGTGCGGTTGGAGATGAACACCTGCTCGCTGGCGCCCACGGTCACGCCGTGCAGGTCCAGCAGGTCGACGTCGCCTTCAAACACGCTGTTGACGATGGTCCAGGTCTTGCCGCCGTCGGAGCTGTGCGCCGCGCCGCCGACTTCCAGCGCCGCGTACATCTGGTTGGTGTCGCCGCTTTCGATGCCGATGCCCAGGATGCGGGTGGCGAATGCCATCTGCACTGCGTCGGGATTGGCGACGGTGGACATGTACTGCCAGTTCTCGCCGCCGTCGGTGCTCTTGAAGACCTCGGCGCCCTCGGTGCCCGCGAACATGATGCTCGAGTCATGGGGATGGAACTTGATGGACCAGACGATGCGGCCATCGGTCATGTTCATGCGCGTGAAGCTGTCGCCGCCGTCCTGCGAGCGGTACACGCCGCGCTGGGTGCCGACGAAGATGGTTTGCGGGTCGTTGGGATGCACCACGATGGCCCGCACCTGCGGGGAGGGCGGCATGCCCTTGGCCAGCTTTTCCCATCGAGTGTCGTTGGCTTCCTTGCGATAGAGCCCGTCGGCCTCGGCGCCGACGTAGATCAGAGTCTTGCCTGCCATAACGCTCTCCTCCATACCTTTCATTCTGTACGGTGATACGCCAATTTGAGCAGACACACCCTGCATTGTCAATTCCGCAATCCTGGAAGGCAGGGCAATCGCGTATTAATCGCTGAAGGTCCTATAAGTCGTCATTCCCGCGCAAGCGGGAATCCAAACCCCCGTCAACCCTCGCACCCGGAACCGAAGGAGGCACTGCCACTGCCACTCCCATATCCACCGCCATTCAGGCCAATTTTGTGTGCTTAGAAATAAGACGCGATTGCCCTGTCCAGGAAGGCTGGCGGTCCGACTGAGGCGATTAAGCTATCTACCCGTGCGGGGGAGTTGCCTTGGCGGTGACCGCCGCACGGCCCAGCATTCCTGCTCCCCGGTCCGACCACGAAGGGGGCCCTCATTTCCTCGAGGAACAGACTGTTCCAATGAGGAGTGAGCCCGGTGATTTCGAATCAGCGGCCGATCCCGGACAGGAAATGTAGCCAGGCCACCCACACAGGAATGCCCTCTTGCTGACACAGGGCAATCGCGTCTTAAACGCCGGAGGCCCTGTCAGTCGTCTTTCCCGCCCAGGCGAGAATCCAAACCCCCGTCTACCCTCGCACCCAGACCCGAAGGAGGCACTGGCACTGCCATTCAGACAATTTTTTGTGCTGGGAATTAAGACGCGATTGCCCTGCTTGCTGACACTGGACCGTTGCAAACTATCTTGCGTCCCCGTATTATTAATACATATGTTCCATATAAATTTCGCCTGCGAAGACATGGGCAAAGTCCCTCGCAGTGTCATCCTGAGCCGCGCAAAGGATCTCGACTCCGCAGGTGGCATCCTCGCTATGCCCAAAACGGAAAGTCGCTCCTGCCACTTTGCAGTCGCCCCGTTTCTGCCTGTGCGTAGCCTTTCCAACGCCAGTCGGGTGCTGCAAGCCTCACCGGAATTGAGCGGAATTGGACGGAAAGGAACGAAACATCGAAATTCCTCATGGACACAGATGGCGTTCCAGCATCTCCCTTGGGGCGCCAGGTGCCGTACGCCATTCTGGGCCCGAAGACCCCACCATTTCAAAAATGGCAGGGAATGGCAGGAAATGGCAGTGTTTTCGTGGGGGTCTCCGGCGCGGTAGGAACCCGGCGAGCTTCCTCCGCAACCCCGGCGCACCCCCGTCTACGACCGTCGAGAGCAGGAAGGAGATTGGCAGAGGTACTGCTACGCGTCGCGGGCTAGGGTCAAGGCGTAGACCTTTAACGCTCCGGCGTCCTTCAAAACCGAGGCGCATTCCGACAACGTGCTCCCCGTGGTGGCGACGTCATCAAGGAGCAGCACAGTCAGGCCGGACAGGTCGGCGTCGCAGGCGAAGTTTCCGGACACGTTGGTGCGGCGTTCTACCTGAGTTTGGGTCTCGACCTGCGGACGGGCGTTCCGGACTCGAACCAGGACGTCCTCACGAACCGGCAGATGCAGGCTCTTTCCGATGTGCCTGGCCAGCAGGGCGGACTGGTTGTAACCCCGGCTGCGGAGACGACTGGGGTGCAGCGGCACTGGGACAAGCATATCGTTCCGGACTGCATTGCGTTTGAGGTGCTGGGTCATCAATCCGCCCAGAGTCTCCGACGCTGCCCGCACGCCCCGGTACTTCAAGGCATGAATAGCATCGCGAACCGGTCCCTCAAACCGGTATGGAGACCGCAGAGATTCAAACTCCCTTGGGTTCTCAAGACACCAGCGGCATATGCCGTCAACTCCGGGGGCAGCACAGACGCGACAATAAGGAGGCGACAGTTGCTTCAGATCGTCCACGCAGAGGTGGCAGATGATGCCTCCTTCGCGCCCGCACTCTGCACAGTAGATGGGGAATACCAGTTCAACGATTGAACGCAGTGCCTTCGACAACAGGAGCGCCAAGGCGTGTTCCTAGTCTCCCTGGGAATCGATCGAGGCTATTCCTCGCCAGAGGGCAAGAATTTCCGTGTCGCGGCTGAAGGCCAGTTCCGGGAGTGCGTCGAGGGGAAAGAAATCCGTCTCCAGCGCCTCGGGTCCGGGCGCCAGTGTGCCACCGGTCTCCTGTGCGGTGAAAGCCGCGACGATGACCGGGTCGCCAGGCAAAGAGAACAGCCCCAGCAGCCCGTCGACGGCAACTTCGAGCCCCGTCTCCTCCCAGGCTTCGCGGGCCGCTGCCGACTCCACGACCTCGCCGCGATCGACGAAGCCGCCCGGCAGGCTCCATAGACCGTAGCCGAGATCAGTGCCACGGCGGATCATCAGCACTTTGCCGTCGCGGGCGATGACGCAGACCGCTGCCACCTTGGGGTCGTAAAACACCACGCGTCCGCATTCCGGGCATGCGGGGCGTTCTGTTCCAAAGATTTCCCGCTGCTCGAGGGGTGTGGCGCAGGAGGCGCAGTACTTGTCGCGTGGTGTGGTCAAAGTGTTCTTTGGCTCATTGCAGGAAGATCATCGCGGAACGGGCCGCAATTATAATGATTCAGATGATAGAGGTGCTTTCAATACCGGCCGCGGAATGGCAATTATGCGCGAAATGGCAATGAAGCTTGGCGAGTGGGCCGGTCGCCCTCAGGTTCATATCGTCGGGCTTTTCGTGTCCTTGATGGTACTCATTGCCGTGGTGGCATACTCCATTGGCACCTTGGAGTATACCAAGCCGCGGGGCAAGCTGATGCTCACCGCGATTCTCGTGGCGGGCTATTTCTTGACCATGCTCGTCGCGACAAGAGTCCCTGGCGATGGGACCACTCCACGCCTGCGGGAGGCGGCGCAGGTGGTGGCCACGGCGGCCTTGTTCCTACTGATGCTTGGGTTGTGGGGAACTCCGGACTCTGACGCATACTGGAAGGCGGCCGCCATCGCCACCCTGCTGGCAATGGGTCTCGTCCTGACGGGGATGGCTTTTCGGTTGGAGCGTTCCGGCAAAGCGAAGACGACTCTTTCATTGGGCTGCGCAGGCTCATCACTGGTTTTGACAGTTCTCGCATCATTTGCCATCGCGCTGGAGATCAAGGCGGAGCCGTACTGGTGGGCCTTCGGAGTGTTTTTTCTGTGCTGGCTTGCTTTCGCCATCCCGCTAGTGGCGGTGCGGTTCCGGAGAGGGGGGAACACGCCTGAATAATTTCGCAAGAACGAGCGCCATCACCTTCCAAGGAACGCTACCACCTCAGCGCGGGTCGGCATGGAGTCCTGCGCCCCAGTGGTGGTGACTGCGAGTGCGCCGGCGGCGCAGGCCAGCATCACCGCCCGCTCCAGCGATCTCCCTTCCGCCAGGCAAACTGCCAGCGCACCGTTGAACGCGTCGCCGGCGGCAACTGTGTCTACTGCCTCCACGGGAAAGGCCGTCTGGTGGCCCAGGAACTCCACCGCGAAGACACTGGTGTCGCCCTGCCAGCCCGTGGCGAAAATTGCGCCCTGCGATCCCAGTTTTATGATGGCGGTTCTGGCCCCCCGTCGCAGCAATTCCTCTGCAGCCCGCTCCGCCGCCCCGTGGCCGTCGACCGGAAACCCTACGAGAGCCGCAGCCTCGGTTTCGTTGGGCGTTATCACATCGGCCAGCTCAATCAGTTCCTCTGGAATTGGACGGACGGGCCCCGGGTCCAGGATGACTGTCTTCCCCATGGCGTTGGCCTTCCTGGCCGAGGCCAGTGACACTTCGATTGGCACCTCCAGCTGCAGCATCAGTGTGCTGGCGTCAGTCAAGGCCGAGGCGACTGCTTCGGCCTGGGCTGCGCCGCAAGTCGAATTGGCGCCCAGCACCTGCACTATGCGATTCTGCGCTGAGCCATCGACGCCGATGACTGCGATGCCCGAGGTCTCTCCCCCGTCAATGGCTATGCCTGAAACGTCAACGCCCGCCTCTCGCAGCCCGTCCAGCAACTGCGGACCGAACAAGTCACCCCCGACCTGCCCCACCATTGACGTGCGACCGCCCATCCGTGCCGCCGCCACCGCCTGGTTGGCGCCCTTGCCACCGGCGTAGGTCAGGAACCGGTGGCCGACAACTGTCTCGCCAGGGCTGGGGAACCGGTCGGAGTAGGTGACCAGATCCATGTTGATTCCGCCCAGCACGACTATCCCCGGCGCACCGTCCATGACCATTTCCCGCTCCTCATGGCAGCTTGAAAACGGGGTAAACCTAGCATTACCCAGCGGACGGGTCAAACCGAAATCCAACACTCTGCGTGCTATAATCGGCAGGTTGTGAAAATATTTACAAGCTGAATCTCAACGGAGAATTGAGAAATGGCTGGCGCACTGGATGACATCAAGGTTGTCGACCTGACCCGGACGCTTGCGGGTCCATTCTGCACCATGCTGCTGGGCGATATGGGCGCCGACGTGGTCAAGATCGAGGAGCCTTCCCTTGGGGACGAAATACGCCACTGGACCCCTTTTTGGAACGGCGAAAGCACCCAGTTTGTCACCTTCAACCGCAACAAACGCAGCATCACCGTCAACCTGAAGGAGCCGGAGGGTGTCGAACTCGTGCGGCGCCTGGCTGCCGACGCTGACGTGATGATCGAGAGCTTCCGCGCCGGGACCCTTGAGCGGATGGGCCTGGGATACGACGACATCAGCGCCATCAACCCCGGTGTCGTCTACTGTTCCATATCCGGGTATGGCCGCACTGGCCCTATGGCAGATATGCCAGGCTACGACCTGATCATCCAGGCATACAGCGGCCTGATGCACCTTACCGGCGAACCCGACGGGCTGCCGCAGAGGGTGGGTTTCTCCTTGGTGGATCTATTCACCGGGATGATGGCCTACGGAACCGTCGTTACCGCCCTGAGACAGCGCGACCAGACCGGCAAAGGGCAGTGGGTGGAGGCCGCGCTGTTGGACGGGCAGGTCGCTGCCCTTAGCTACCACGCGACCCGCTACCTCGGTACCGGTGAGGACCCGGAGCGCATGGGTTCCGGACACCCCAGCCTGGTGCCGTACCAGAGTTTCGCGTCGTCCGACGGCTACTTCATACTCGGTTGTGCCAACCAGGGTCTGTGGGAGCGGACGTGCCGGGCCATCGGGCGCGACGACCTGCTGGAGGACCCGCGCTTCGCCACCAATACCGATCGGGTAGCCCACCGCAAAGAATGCGTCGATACCCTGATGGAGATGTTCAAGCACAAGAACACCGACCACTGGGTCAAGGTGATCAATGGGGCCGGTGTGCCGTGTGGGCCCATCAACAGGGTGTCCGAGGTGGTCAGCAACCCGCAGGTGTTGGCCCGCAACATGATTGCCGAGATGGAGCATCCCAACGTCCCTGAACTGAAGACGCCTGGCTCGCCACTCAAGCTCACAGATTCGCCCGCATCCATCCGCCGCCCACCGCCGCTGCTTGGGCAGCACAACGACGAGGTGCTGGAGGAGCAGGGTTTCACGGCCGAGCAGATCGCCGATCTGAGAGAACGCGGCGTTATCGGCGCAAACTAGGTCCGGAAGCACCCGGATGCACAAGGTAAACATCTACAGCAGGAGCAGCATCGCCCAATGAGGAAACTCCGTTTAATCCACACTTCCGATACCCACCTTGGCGACCCCATGGGCCATCCACGAGCGGAGGAGGTGCTGTCGTCGGTGGTGGACGCGGTAGAGCGACTGGAAGGCGATGCACTGTTGCTGGCTGGCGACGTTTTTGACAACGAGCGGGTTACCGACGAGGTGATCGAGCGCTTTGTCGCCGAGATGGCGAGGCTGAAGACTCCGGTTGTCGTATTGCCCGGAAATCACGACCTGGCACACCAGAGCTCTGTGTACCTCCGCCCGCCATTTGACGAGGCACCCGTCAACCTGCAGGTAATTCGCGATCCGGCCGGTGAGACCCTTGCCTTCCCCGATCTGGAGTTGGAGTTGTGGGGCCGTGCAATGCTGTCCCACACGCCAAATTTTCGTCCCCTTGACGGTATGCCTGAACCCACGGAAGGAAACTGGCTGGTAGGCATGGCCCACGGGCACTTCCATTTCGAGGACGACCGGGACCAGCGCTCCTCGCCCATCTACCCTGATGATGTGGCGGCGTCTGGATGCCATTACCTGGCGCTGGGCCACTGGGACCGCCACGTCGACGTGTCCCGATCCGACACCACCGCCGTTTACTCAGGATGCCCCTACGGGCCGATCGGGTCGCCGGAGCAAGGGGCGGTCTGCGTTGTTGACCTGGACCCGGACAAGGGTGTCAGCTACCGCCTTGAGTTGTTGAATAGACAGGTGTGCTAGTCTTCGAAAGAGCAAGGAGGAGGCTCCCATGAAACGGCTCACCCGCGATCACAAGATCTATGTGCTAGACCCGACCAACCCGCCTGCCATCACCATTGACTCCGGTGAGGAGTTGATCGTCGAGACGTGGGATGCGTTCGAGGGCATCCGCGATCCGAAAGCACTGGATGAGAAGCAGCTGAAGGGCCCGGCCATCGGCCCGATCTACGTCAATGGCGCGGAGCCGGGCGACGCGCTCCGGGTCGACTTCATCAGCGTAACGCCGCGGGCCAGCGAGGGCGCTGCGCACATGGTCTCACCGGGGCGAGGCTTCCTGGAGCAGGAGTTCGACCGCGCATATCCCACGGTGATGACCATTGAGGATGGCCACGTCGTGCTGCCAAGCGGCATCAGGCTTCCGCTGAATCCGTCCATGGGTCTGGTTGCTACTACGCCCACCTACCCGCAACAGACCGCCAGCGACAGCGGCCCGTACGGCGGCGACATCGACATCAAGGAGCTTATCGAGGGCAGTACGTTGTACCTGCCGGTGTTCGTGGAGGGTGGACTGCTGGCAATGGGCGACTGCCATGCCGTGGTAGGCGATGGCGCGGTGGGCGGCACCGGCGCTGAGTGTGCTGCAGACAGCCACATCCGCGTCACCGTCGAGAAGGGGATGGGAATCGAGTGTCCGCAGGCCATGACACCAGACTACTTCGTGGTGCTGTACTACGGCGAGGAGCTGGGCCCGGCCATGAAGGGTGCAGTGCGCAGCATGGTGGACTTCCTGGTGCGCGAGAAGGGGATGGAGCCCTACGACGCCTACACGCTGCTCAGCCTTGCGGGCGATGTGCGAATGTCCCGTACCTTCCGGCCCATCAGCCCGGTGAAGATGATGCTGGACCGCCGCGCCTTGGAGCAGTTGGGCTAACCTCACCCGCACCCTTACCGCCCCCGCCGATGGGCAGGGAGTGGTTCGAGAGGCAATTCCAACTACCAGCGTCGGGTCACTCTCAGTGAGTATGGCTTGGGCGCAATGGCCAAGCCGAACACTTCGTCCTCTGTCAGCGGCTCACTATCGGGCGTCTCGAAACGCAGGCGGTGCATCATGCGCGTGATGTGTAGCCAGACAGTGGTCTCGGCTAGGCGGCGGCCGGGGCAGCGGCGATGGCCAGTGCCGAAGGGCAGGTAGGCCTGACTGGTCAGCGCTGCCGACATCGGCTCGTCCTCCTGTGGCAGGAAACGCTCGGGGATGAACTCGTGGGGCGAGTCCCAGTATCGCGGGTCATGGTGTATGGAGTATATGTTGCCCAGCACCTGCGTTCCCGACGGAATCCTGTAGCCGCCGATTTCCGTGTCTTCCGAAGCCTTGTGAGGCAGTCCCAGCGGGCCGATGGTGCGGTAGCGCATCGACTCGGCCAGGCAGGCGAAGACATAGGGAAGGCGAGTCCGGTCTTCAACGGTGGGTACGGCGTCCCTCCCGATTACCCGGTCCATCTCCTCATGCACCCTGGCCTGGATCTCGGGCCGGTTGGCCAGCAACAGCAGAAACCAGTTGACCGTTTGCGCCGAGGTGTCGGTGCCCGCTATCAACAGGTCCATGCAAAGGTCGCAGGTCATCACGTCGGTTATTTCGCCCGCCTCTTCCCTGGCCAGCATCACCTCGACCAGGCAGGTAGGGGACGAAAGATCAAGATTCGGACGATTGCGAGCAGCATCCACAAGCGCGCGGATGATGGCCCCGCCAATCTTGGCCTGTAAAGCGGCTTCCTTCAGGGCGTTGTTGGGCAGGAAACGGAGCCAGGGAATGTAGTCAGCCAGGTTGGTAGCGGTGGCGCTGCTGAATATCCAGCTGATGTATTCCAACAACCTGTCACGGTGCTGAAGGAATTCGTCGGTGGCGTTCTCCGGCTGCCCGAACAAGCTGCGGAACATAAGAGTGGCGTTACTGAGGGCTGTCATCGCGGGTGGTGAAACCAGTTCTCCGGCGACACCCATTTCACCCATTCGTTCGACCAGGTCGTTGACGACGGTCTCGATGTGTCTTTCACGAACGTTGTCCACGTTGCGGGCACTGAGCAACTCGCGGTTCGCGAATCGTTGCATCTGCCGCCAGTGCTCGCCATACGGAGCCAGCACGAGGTCCTTCTGTCCGCTTAGGGTGTCCATGATTTCGCTTACCCAGCGATCGGCCAGCTCGGCCTTGCCGAAGGCCTCGTGCAACAGGTCCGCGTCGCTGATGATTACGGTCGGCACGCTGCCGAAGCGAAGCAAACAGATGTCTCCGTAGCGCTTTACCAAGCGGTCAATGGAGAGGTGTGTATCGTGGCGGATGTCCAGTAGCGAACCGAATATCGGTAGTCCGCGAGGGCCGGGAGGCAGCTTCTTTGGCAGGTCGGATGTCGCGACACTCACTTGTGCCACCTCCTATGGGAGCATTGGCCAACAATAATGAAGCCCTCCCCTTCAACTTTAGCAAAGGAGAGGGCCCAGGAACAGAACGGGTTTTCAATAGGACTACCCGTTCACCATAGCCAACAGTGATAGCGGGCTGGATTCTCCGACGTTAAGCACCCTTAATGATATCGGCCATTCGCTCGGCAATCATGATGGTGGTGCAGTTGGTGTTGGCGCGAATGCAGTCGGGCATGACCGACGCGTCGATGACGCGCAGGTTCTCCAGGCCCTTGATCCGGCACTGCTGGTCCACCACCGCCATGGGGTCGTTGTCCGGCCCCATCTTGCAGGTGCCTGAAATGTGCTGCGAGGTGGACACGGTGCGCATCAGCCAGTTGTCCAGCGCATCGTCGGATTCGAGGTCTCCTTGTGTGGGTTCGATAATTTCCTTAACGATGTTGGCGTAGTCGGGGTGGTCGACGAACCCCACGCACAGCCGTACCGCCTCCCGCATGCGGGCCAAGTCCCGGGGGTCGTCGGCGAAGTAGTTGTAGTTCAGCTCAGGCTGCACGTTCGGGTCGGTGGACGTGATGGTCAGGTGGCCCTTGCCGTAGGCCAACTCGAGGATGCAGGTGAACCGGATGCCCTCGGCCTCCAGCGGGTCGCCGGAGATGGGCGAAGAGAAGGACGAGGCCATGACCTGGATATCGTTGCGCAATTCGGAGCCGGTGGCGGTGTAGCGCAGCGCACCTGGGTGCGCGGGTCCTGCGGGTTGAGCGGAAAGTCTTCCTTTACCTCGATGGGCACCCGGATATTGGGATGGTCGCGCAGGTTCTGGCCCACTCCTGGAGTGTCCTGCACGATGGGGATCCCGAACTTGTCCAACGTCTCCCTTGGTCCCACGCCAGACAGCATAAGGATCTGCGGCGAGGCGATGGCACCGGAGCAGAGGATTATATCCTCGCCCTCTACGGTAAAGGTCTCGCCGCCGCTTTCAACCTGGGCGCCGATGGCCCGGTTGCCGTCGAACAGGACGCGGTGGACGATGACGTTGGCCTTCACGGTCAGGTTCAGGCGGTGGCGTGCCGCGCCGAGGAACGTCAGGGAGGTGCTCATCCGCACGCCGTTGGGATTGTTCATAGGGATTGGCCCGACCCCGCCCGACTCCGGGTGGTTCATGTCGGGGTCGTCGGGGAACCCGGCGGTGCGGGCGGCGTTATAGAAAGCCTGCTGAGCTGGCAGCCAAGTCTCCTTCGCGAAGCGGCGCACCGGGATGAAACCTTCAGAGTTGTGGAAATCGTCGGCACCGAAGTCCATGTCGCTTTCCAGCTTGCGCAGATAGGGCAGGACGCTGGTGAAGCCCCACTGGTCGTTTCCCAGTGCGGCCCAGGCATCATAGTCTTCGGGGACGCCCCTGAGCAGTACCTGGCCGTTGATGGCGCTGGAACCGCCGACCACGCGGCCGCGGGGCACCGGCATGGGCTCGGTTGCCAATGGCGTGGTGTTGCCTTGGAAGGACCAGTTGTGAGGAGCGTCGATTGCCGAGGCAGTCTGATCGTAACCGAACTTCAGATCGTCTGGGTAGCTCTCAAAATCGGGATAGTCCGGCCCAGCCTCCAGCAGCAGCACGCTTTTGGTCGGGTCCTCCGACAGCCGGCTGGCCATGGTGCAGCCCGCTGACCCAGCCCCCAGGATGACATAGTCGTATTTCATTTCACTCTCCTTACTGGTGTTATGCCATTGGTCTGTGGCAAATCCGGGTCAAACTCGTTATCGCATCAGATGGTTCGTGAAGAATTCAACGGTCCGCGGCCACGACGCCTCTGACGCCTCCTGATGGTGTCGCAGGCCGGTGTAGTCCATGAAGGCGTGGTCGGCTCCGGGGTAGGTGTGGAACTCATGCGTTATCCCCAGGCGCGTCAACTCGGCGTCAATCCTTTCCCGGTCCGCCGGGGATGGATTCTCGTCGATTTCGCCGAAATGGAACAGCACGGGGCATTGGATGCCGGAGGCCAACTGGAAGGGTGTATTGTCCCCTGAGCCCCAGGTTACGAATAGATTGCCCCCATAGTAGGGAACGCAGGCCTTGATGTGCCGGTTGGTGGCCGCTCCCAGCCAAGCAACCCGACCGCCCATGCAGAAGCCGGTAATGCCGATATGGTCGCCCTGAATGGCTGGGTGGGCGCGCAGCCATTCAACCGTTGATCCGATGTCCGCAACGATTTCAGGGTCGCTCAGGTGCTGGATGCGCCCGGTGCGGTTGTCCAGTTGCTCCTCGGTGAAGCGGTGGAACAAGTTCGGCGCGACAGCGGCAAACCCCGCCTCGGCCAGCCTATCGGCCATGTCCCTGATGAACTGGTCCACGCCGCCACCGTGCTGGCTGACGATCACAGGGGGGAACGGTCCGCCGCCCCTCCCGCTGGGAATGCTGGCATAGACGTGCATGTCCCTATCGCCTACCTGTATCGTTTCCCAAAATGAAGCCATGTTGCCCTCCGTTAAGCCATCATATCTCTAGTCGTAATTATCGCATACCCCCGCTGCGGTTCAGTCGTGATTGCAGGTATGGGCAGGCACCAATATGAGCGCCTGAGAATGAAGATCAGACGCAACACCCGGGAACTCCACCCTGCGGCGGCGCTTGATCAGGTCATAGCCACTGACCGATTATAGCGGAGGCAGATTGCCGCAACAAAACAGCCGTCATATGCCGTTTACGGCCTTCCCGTGGTAGGATACCCGCAACATTTGGAAAGGGAGGAAAGCGGTATGGCCATGGACGTTCAGGTCTATACCCAGCCTGGTTGATTCAGTTGCCGGACTCTGGAAGAGTTCCTCAAGTCCAACGGCATTGAGTACGAACATCACGACCTGCTGAGCGAACCCGCTGCGGTGGAGCATCTGCGCAGCCGGGGCATCAAATCATTGCCGGTCACCATCATCGACGACACAGAAGTCGTCATCGGCTACTACCCCAAGAAGCTGATCCCAGCCCTGAAGCTGGATGTTTCAGTCGACCTGTCGGGCAAGACGGCCTGGCTTGCCGAGAAGTATGACGCCATCCTTAGTGCGGCGGTGCGGGCCAACAACCAGTTCAGCCAGGAACAGTTGGACACCATCGTGCCCTGGCGGCCCTGGAGCCTGCGCGACACAGTCCTGCACATCCTGGCATTCCCGGAGATTGCCTACCTGTCGCACGAGGTGGGCAGCATGAGCTGGGACGACATGCAGGCGCAGGACAAGCGACTCGAGGGTGTCACCACTGCTTCACAGATCGCTGAGTACGGTCTGAAGGTGCGCGATGACATCATCGCGTTCCTGAACAGCGGCAACGCCGAGGGCTTCGAACGGGAGGTGCCGGCCCACTACGGCGGTGAGGTCACCGTGCTGGAGCTGCTCAACATCGTGCTCAGCCACAGTACGCACCACCTGAAGCAGGTCTACCACTACATGACCACCGACCTCGGCATAACGCTGGAGAACCCGGCCACCGACGCCGACCTTGACGGTATCCAGACGCCGGACGCGCTGATTTAGATTCTTTCATTCCCTCTCCCTCCGGGAGAGTGTAAGGGTGAGGGTGGCTATCGAAAATGGATTGCCCTCACCCTTCCCGATTTACAACGAAGGCGGAGTGCAAATAAGCAGACAGCGAGGAGTATTGTATGAAATATGACTATATAGTGATTGGCGCCGGTTCCGCCGGCTCCATCATCGCCACGAGGCTGACCGAGGACCCCAATGTGTCGGTCCTGTTGCTGGAGGCAGGGCCGGACTACCCTGACTTCGAGCAGTTGCCGGAAGAGGTCAAGTTCGGTTACTCCACCGAGATCGACATCATGGTCAGCGACCACAACTGGCAGTTCACCGGCAAGGCCACCGAGAGCGCACCGCCGATGATGGTGCCGAGGGGCAAGGTCACCGGCGGCTCCAGCGCCATCAACGGCCAGGTCTTTTTGCGCGGGGTACCCGAAGACTATGACACCTGGGCCGAGATGGGCAACGATGAGTGGAAGTACACCGACTGTCTGCCGTTCTTCCGCAAGTTGGAGACGGACACCGACTTCTCCGACGACTTTCACGGCACCGATGGCCCCATAGTCTGCCACCGCTTCAAGCCGGACACCTGGCACCCGGCACAGCACGCTTTCTACGCAGCCTGCCGCGAGGCCGGGTTCCCCGACAGCCCCGACCACAACAACCCGGACTCCACTGGCGTCGGCCCCACGCCCTTCAACAACCCTGGCGGCGTGCGCATGAGCACCGCCCTGGGTTACCTGGACCAGACTCGCCATCGCTTGAACCTGACCATTCGCGCCAACTGCCACGTTCAGAAGATCCTGTTTCAGGGGAACCGAGCGGTGGGCGCGCGAGTGGAAAGCGGGGGCGAGACGTTCACCGTTGAGGGCGAGGAGATCATCCTGAGTTCCGGAGCCATCGGCTCGCCCCACATCCTGCTGCTTTCGGGTATTGGCCCAGCGGCCCAGTTGCAGGAGTTTGGCATCCCCGTAGTGGCTGATTTGCCGGGTGTGGGCCAGAACATGCGCGACCACCCGAACGTCTGGGTGACCTGGCGCACCAAGCCGGAGATTCCGCTGGACGGACTGGCCCCCCGGATGCAGGTGACGCTGCGCTATACTGCCGATGGATCGCCCCTGCGCAACGATATGAAGATGTCGATGCAGTCCTTCGCCACCGAGCGTATCAACAAGGGCGGCGATCGCATGGAGCCGGTGGGTATCCGCATCACCAGCGGCATCCAGCTTGCGGCGGGAGCCGGTGAACTGCGTCTGCAATCGGCTGACCCGGCGGAGCAGCCTTTCCTCGACTACCGCTACTTGGAGGACCCCTTCGACCTGGAGCGGCTGCGGGACACGGTGCGCCTCTGCGTCAGGCTGGGCGAGAGTGATGCCTTCAACGACATCATCCAGGAGCGTATCGAGCCCACCGACGCCGAGTTGGCCACCGACGAGGCCCTGGACGAGTACCTGTTCCGCGAGGTAACCACCTCGCAACACATATCCTGCACCGCCAAGATGGGACCCTCCGATGACCCCATGGCCGTGGTAAGCCAGTACGGCATGGTGCACGGTCTGGAGGGCCTGCGCGTGGCCGACGCCTCCATAATGCCCGACTGCATCCGCGCCAACACCAACGTAACCACGATGATGATCGGAGAGCGGATCGCCGAGTTCATCAAGGCCGGGATGTAGAGGAAAGAGATATTCTCATTTCTGCCCCTTTATTCCAACAAGCAAGGGGTCAACAGAGAAACCGCACCCAATGGTGAGGTAGGCATGTCCCTTTTTCTGATTTCGGCCCTGTCGTTCTTGTATCACAAAGCGTTGAGGAGGCGCACCGCTTCTCCTCCTCTGCACTGTCGGCACCACCTCAGCCATCAGCCAGTAAAGATGGTGGACTAACCGGGATAGGCAGAATGAGAGAATAACCAACCTTCCGACTAGAGCGGTTGCGCGAGGGCCGCTGAGGATATTTCCTCGGCGGCCCTCCTCTTTTTGGTAAGCTGCCTGGTCAGGCCCGAGGGGTCATCAGCCAGTCCTGGCTCCTTGCAGCCAAGCTCATCCACTGGGAGTGGGACTCCTGCCGGCCCTCGGGCGGCTCCACACCCAAGCTGTCAGCCAGCCGTGTCATGAAGTTGAAGGTGCAGGTGATGAGCACGGTGGATAGTATCTGCTCGTCGCTGAGACCGTGATTGCGCAGACGCCGTACGTCTGCCTCCGTCATATCCGCGGGCGTGCGGGTCAGCTTTGCCGCGAAGTCCAGCATCGCTCTGGTCTGCGGCTCGAGTTTGGCCTGGGTGTAGTCGTGCATCGCGTGGCTGGCTAGCTCAGCGTCGCCGGAATGTTCACGGAGGAACCCTCCGTGGGCCATGGTTCAATAGCGGCAGTGGTTGGTTGCAGACACCACCGTGGCGATTGCCTCCTCTTGTACCCTCGTCAAGGCCGACCCGCCGAAGGTAACGGCCGCATTCAGCCGTTGCACCGCCTCCATCGCCTGCGGCAGGATGGACATCACGCTGATTACTGGCGACAGATCTGTTTTCTCTTCACGTATCCAGGACATCAGGACACTCCCTAATTGACTGAACTGCCAAAAACGCCATTATTCTCTGTGTTGAACATGGGGAATATTGCGACGGCAGCCCTACGCTCTGCCGAACCAGTCGGGGTGGACGGCCTGCAGGCCCAGTTGCGGCCAGGCGGCGGGGGCGCTGCACTTTTCGAGGCGCTCCTCAAGGGGCAGGGAGTCGTCCCAGTGGTAGGCGATGATGCGACGTCCGTTCCAGTGGCTGGCGTCGTCGGAGGCAATCCAGACGGCCGGCGACTGCATCGCCTCGGGCTGGATCAGTGCATCGGCAGTGGCCCCCTCGGGCGGCAGCACCATGTTGGTGGCCGTCGCGCCGCCGGGTGTCAGCACATTGGCGGTGACGCCGGTGCCTCCCAGGTCCTGGGCCATGATGGCCACCAGCGCCTCGTGCCCTGCCTTTGACGGGCCGTAGGGGGCCCCGCCCTTGCGCCACATGGTGTCCATGCTGGTCGTGACGCCGATGATGCGCCCGAACCCCTGCTCGACCATATGGGGGGTAACAGCGTGGGACATCAGGAACGGGCCGCTCAGGTTCACGGAGATCACCCGCAGCCAAGCATCGGGCTCGAGGGTCCAGAAGTCGTTCTGGCTTCCGGCGGCCCGCGCCCCGAATCCCCCTGTGCGGGCGTTGATGCCGGCGTTGTTTACCAGGATGTGCAGACCGCCCATTTCGTTGATGGTGCGCTGCACGGCGTTCTCCACCGACTCCGGATCGGTGACATCGGCGACGATGGGCAGCACAGCGTCATCTCCGCCGATTTCTCGCAGGTCGTTGGCCGACTGGTCCAGCCAGTCCTGATTGACGTCCAGCATCGCCACCCGCGCCCCGGCTCGCACGAGTCCGGTGGTTATGGAGCGGCCCATGCCTATGGGGCTGGCTGCGCCGGTTACGATGGCGACTCTGCCTTCCAGTGTGTTTGATGGCATGGTCATTTCTTACCTCGAATTCCCTTTGCTAGAAAATTGCCAACGGGTTGACCGGGGAGCCGGTGGCGTTCTTGAAGCGCAGCGGCGCCACGTTGAACATGAACTCGTAGCGCCCCAGTCGCTCGCACACTGCGGCCAATTCCTCGCAGTTGCCCGCGTCGATGAGCCACAGGCCCATGCCCACTATGCCCACCTTGTGCACCGGCAACCCGATCCCGGGATAGCCACTGGGCTCGGCGTCCTGGGAGGCGTCGCCGCCCAGGAGGGCCACGCCGCGCTCCTTGAGCCACGGCAGGGTCTCGGCGTGCAGTCCGGGCCGTCCGGCAGCGGGCGGTCCGAGCTCCAGGCGGCGCTTGTACCATCCGAGGCGCAGCATCAACGCGTCGCCCTCTTCCACGCGAACGCCCTGGGCCTCTTCCGCGGCCTCAAGGTCGTCGGTGTACACGAACTCGCCGGCTTCCAGCCAGTCTTTGCCCTTGACCTTGGTGATGTCCAGCATCACGCCACGGGTAACGATGCCGTTCTGGACCTTGTCGATGTCCAGGCTGTTGGCCTTGGTCTCGGAGTTAATGTCTGAGGCGGGGCGGCCATTGTACATCTTGCCGTTCCAGACCTGGTGGCAGAGGCTGTCAAGGTGAGTGATGGTCAGACCGTGGAAGGAAAAGCCGATGAAATCGGAGGTACCGCCCGGCCCCTCATCAGGGCAGCTGTCGCCGGCCCGGAGCATGTAGTGCAGCGGCGGGATGGAGGTGACGTCGGGTGCACCCTCAGGCACGATCAGCCGCGAACAGGTCACGCTGATCCCCTCCTTGACCAGGGAGGCGGCCTGGGCCCGCTTGGCGTCGGTGATCAGGTTGACCGTGCCCAACTGGTCGTCGTCGCCCCAGCGACCCCAGTTGCTCAGAGAATCGAGCCATTCGACAACTTGTTCCTCGGTAGGAATCTGGCGGGTGGTCATTTGCATCCTCCGTCCGGATGTTGAGTTATTCGGCAATCTTAATACGCCAAATGGGACGCTCCGTCAAATGGAGGGGTGAATTCAGGGCAATCGCGTCTTATTTCTCAGCACACAGAATTGGTCTGAATGGCGGTGGAGATGGGAGTGGCGGTGCCTCCTTCAGTTCCTGGTGCGAGGGTAGACGGGGGTTTGGATTCCCGCCTGCGCGGGAATGACGACTTATAGGGCCTCCGGCGTTTAAGACTCGATTGCCCTGTCGATGCAGGTCTGTTGCCACTGGCTGGAGAGATTCCGCGGCTGCACAGGAATCGAGTACGGCCATCCGAGAGCGTCGGGCTTGCGGAGGGCAATTCGATGTCTCCACGGGACAGAATTTTCCCACTGCTGTCCCGTTTTGTCCCATATTGTCCCAAATTCGCGCTCCGCCGTAGTTGGAGTTTCCCCAAATTGGCCAAAAATCGCGATTCCCGTCCCGTATTGTCCCATTCTGTCCCATCCGGTCTTTCCCCCTGTTTTCGGAGCGCATATGGAGAGGGATCTCGTCCAGAAACAACCTCTGATCCGGGTTTCGTGAACGCTATTTACGAACATATATACGTAATAATAATACAACAGCGCCGCAGAGGCTGGCAAGGGAGAAGACTCACTCGGCAGGGCAATCGCGTCTTATTTGTCAGCACACAAAATTGGTCTAATGTCGGTGGATATGAGAGAGGGAGTGGCAGTGCCTCCTTCGGTTCCGGGTGCGAGGGTATACGGGGGTTTGGATTCCCGCCTGCGCGGGAATGACGACTTATAGGGCCTCCGGCGTTTAAGACGCGATTGCCCTGGGGGTGAATTCTGCAAGAGCTATCCCGATTGGCTGGAGAGGTCCCGCAGTTGCAAGGCGCACCGGGCGTCATTATTCAAACGGGATAGCTTCGGGAGGAGGATACAGTTTGGGAATCCAAGGGCCGATGGGACAATTTTGTTTTTCCTCTCAAACCGTCTCATTTTGTCTAATTCAGGCTCCCCAAGCTTGGTCGCAGAGAGTGTGTCGACGTGTCACTCGGAGGGACAAAAGCCATTTACCCTTTTGTCTGGCATGCAATTCAGAACAAATATTCAATGACATTGTATGGAGGCGCCATGAGGCTTGGCAAAGGCCAGTTGTCATCAGATCGTCGAAATGAGATTGGCATGGGAGTTACGCAGTGTATGTAAGTTAGAAGGGGAGTCGGCCAAGCAGAATCCAGAAGTCATCTTGCGCCGAGCTGTCCAATCGTTCCGTCAATGTAGAGGATTTCGATGGTACGGGAAATCGCGGCCTCGAGCTGCGCCCTGGTTGGCTGGTCGAGGCCCGGCCCCAGGCGGTCGACGAGGCCCGAAACTGAAGTCTGCCCGTCGATCTTGGATACCAGCGCAGCTACCAGTTCGCTGCACGGCATCCCTTCGGGCTGGGACACTGCGCTGAGGCTGTAGCCCCAGACGAACTCGCCCTCGCCCAGCACCGGTCTCCGAGCTATACGGACTCCTTCGGCGAGCTGGGGAACTGCGTTCAGGATCTGGTTGCGCTGGGGGTCTGAGCGAAGGCCTGTGACGCGGTTTATCCGTCCCCCCCGCTCGCCCTCCACGGTGCGGACACTGGCCACGAAATCGGCTGGAGCCTCTCCCCGGTCCAGCACCACACGCTCGTATCCCCGGGGTGGCTGGCCGGCGACCGCCTGGATGAAGCTCTGGCGGGGCGTGTACTCACTCTCGCCAGTGATGCGCCGGGCCTCCCAGAAATAGGAGTCAGAGGTGAGGTTGCTGGCATAGAAAAGCCGGGCCATTTCCCTGAACTGGTTGTACTCCTTGTAGTAAAGCTCCTGGTAGACCTCCCCTGCCAGGTCACGCAGTTGCTCGTCACCGCCCTCGCTCGCCTTGAGCGCTGTGGTGGCGTAGGCGGCGGCCATCACGCCGGACATGAGCGCCAGGTGCACCCCCGATGAAAAGAGGGGGTCAACGAAGCAGGCAGAGTCGCCGGTCATAACGAATCCCGGTCCGGTGATGCGTTGCGACGAATATGACCAGTCGCGTACTACGTTGGGTCCAGCGGCCCATCGCGCGTTCCGGAGCATGGCCTTCGTGTGCGGGGCCTGCGCTATCTGCCCAAAGAGGAATTCCCGCGCTCCCAGCCGTTGGATGCCCTCCTGGCCAGTGCGATTGTCCACCACAGCTCCTACGCTGCTCCAGCCAGTTTCTCCAGCCTTGACCGGCGCTGAACTGCCCAGGGGAATGGTCCAGAACCAGCCGTGCTCGAAGGCCTCGATAAAGATGTTGTTTTCATCCGGGGACGGAAGCGGATCTACGCCCTCGAAGTAGGCGTATACCGCAAGGTTCTGGAAGAACGAATCCCAGCGACGGGTTCCCGCCTGCTGCGCCAGCAACGCCGTCTGCCCACTGGCGTCCACCACGAACCGGGCTGATAGCTCATTTTGCCCAGTGGTGTCGGAGACATACCGGAGGGTGGTCATTAAGTTGTGGTCCGCCCATATCACGCTGTTGACGCGGCAACCCTCACGAACGTCTACTCCAGCAGCGCGAGCGTTGGCCAGCAGGATGTGGTCGAATGTTGGACGCCATACCTGGTAGGCGTGGGGATATTGGACGCTGGTCTCGCTAAAGTGCCAGCTCCATGGTTCGGGGTCGCGGCCCCAGACCATGGTCGCGCCGTACTTGGGCAAGAAGCCTGCCGCCTGAACGGCCTCCATTGCGCCCAGTTCCTCCAGCACAGGCATGGATGCGGGCAGCAGCGACTCGCCGACGTGCTCACGGGGGAAGCGCTCGCGTTCCAGCAGTACTACCCGCCAGCCCTGCCGAGCCAGCATCGTGGCCGCAGCGCTTCCGGCGGGCCCTCCACCGATGACTGCAATGTCTGCGGTCGATTGCTGTGCCATCAACGACAACTCCATTTGGGAGTCTGCAAGTAGGGGCGGGTTATTTAACCCGCCCCTGAAAAGTCTATTATGATAGGGCGTAGATTCGCCCTGCCGTAAGGTGCCTTTAGCTAATCGGCGTTGTGACCGCCCTCGGCGCTGGCGGTGGCCGCCACGTCGGACTCCTCCGGGTAGGGCTTGCCAGTGGACGGGTTGACCTCGAAGGAGCTGGGAAGCTCCAGTTCCTTGGCGATCTCCTTGACTGCCGGGATCACTTCCTCGCCCATCAGGCGCAGGCTGCGCATGGCGTCGTCGTGGGTCATGGCGCCATCGCCGTCCCAGAAGAAGACGCTGCCGGGACGCAGGAACTCCAGCACGTGGCGGATCTTGGGAATGACCGTCTTCGGCGTGCCGCAGATGATGGTGTAGTCGGCGATCTGCTGCTCATATGCGCGGCCCAAGACGCCCGCTGGGCCGGCGGGGCCGCCGCGGGCCGCAGTGGCGCTGCCCTGTGTCGGCAGAACGCGTCGGCGGGAGGTGAGGCCGGGCAGGTTGACCAGCGCCGGGTTGGTCGTGCCTTCGTTGCCCGCCAGGAAGGGGTTGCTCGGACCCTGCACGAACTTGCGCCCGGCCTGCTCGGCCAGTTCCTCGGTCTCGTCGACGTGGACCTTCCACAGGTACCCGAGGTTCTGCGGGCCAGACTGGTATCCCAACTCGGCGGCAGTGTCATGGTACAACTGGAACGCGGCCTTGGTCGGCTCTAGCTCAGTGGACAGCATGATGTAGGGGATCCGCTTTTCAGCGGCCCACATCAGCGAGTCCCGGCTGATGACACCGGGCAACCAGACCTGCGGGTGGGGCTTCTGGAAGGGCCGCGCCCACGGGTTAACGTGCCGGTACTGGTAGTGTTTGCCCTCCCAGCGGAACGGGCCGGGGGTGGTCCAGGCCTTGACGATGAACTCGTGGGCCTCCTGGAAGCGTTCCCAGTTGTATGGCGGCGGCGCGTTATGCGCTACGCTCTCGCGCCCGGTACCCCGGACCCAGCCGGAGACCAGCCGTCCGCGGGAGATCATGTCGATCATCGACAACTGCTCTACCAGCCACAGAGGGTCGTCCCAGATGGGAATGATGTTGCCCAGCAGCACGATCTTGGCCCGTTTGGTAATGCGGGCAAGGATCGACGCCTCCACATTCATGGCACCGCCCATGCAGAAGGGCGTGCCGTGATGTTCGTTGAGCATCAGGCCGTCGAAGCCCATCTCTTCCGCGTAGATCTTCTCGTCCAGATAGCGGTTGTACAGCTCGGCACCCAGCTTCGGGTCATATATCTCGTTACTGACGGTCAAGTCCATGATGGGCTTGCCGGTGGCGCCGAAGTACCCGGAATCCGGGTCCTGGTAAGGCCGCTCTGTGAAATATCCGATGTGCATGGTCTTCTCCCTTTCATCGGCTTTGCCCGCCAGGGAACTCGCGTGCCGGTGGCGGGAATTGCGGGCATTATAGCATCAGTTTAAACGTAGTTGCAGAGTGGCAATTGGACGTCCGGTGGTGCTAGGGAAACCGGAAGATATCGGAGAGTGGTAAAGAATATCCCGGCAGCCGCTCCTCGTCGAAAATCTCGTCGTCGCCGGTGCGCGTGATGGTGGTGCCGTCAGCGCGATGGACTGCACCCTTTTGCTGGACGGGCATGTCACCCAATCACGTTGCGAACCTGCGGCGAGGTATTCGCCAACCTTGCGTTCCGTCTCCACCGTAGTGTTGGAGGGCGAAACACCTCAACAGCTATGTCCGGCGCGCCCGAGGCGAATCTGTCGCCAAGGTTCTCCCATTCGTCCTTACCAGAATGTACAAAAGACGGATCGGGGCCACGTACCGTATCGGATGTGCTGTGCAGTCGGTAGCCCGTATCGACGGACGCGCCGCAAACGCCACTTTGCCGGGCATATAGATTAAAGCAGAGCCCAATATTCAATGCGGCGGCACCGTGCCGTTCGTTGACCGGAGCGATTTCCACCGCTGCGTATTCCACCAGTTCGCACCCGCCGTCCTTGTGGCCGTAGAGGTGGAAGAATTCGTTGGCGATCAGTATGGATCTTTGCCTCGACATCCGCCCCTGTCCTCTCGGGAAGCTGATTGCTTGACGTAATTATCGTCTAAGGCAGGGTTAGGTTATGAGTCTGGTGCCCATCGATGGGGAGTCGACGCCAGGCGACCGAATCCCAGGTCCTCGCAAAGCGCTTCGTATTCTCCTCGGCGCACCCCATCCCACTGTAGATCACGGGTGTTCGCGCTGATAGGTACGTCGCGGCGGAGGGTGGCCAACTCGCGGTACAGAAGTGCGCTTTCGTACTCCTCCGACAGAATGGTCTGGAGTGCTGTGGCCCCGCGCACAGGCACGTCCCAGGGCCCGCTGGTCGGTATGTCCTCAAGGTGGCTATAGCTTGCCAGCACCGTGCTTGAAGTCTTGGACCCCCAGCGAGGCAGGCCCGGGATGCCGTCAGCGGAGTCGCCAGTCAGGGCCAGGAGGTCCGGGATTGACTCAGGCAAAACGCCAAATTTGTCAAGCACTCCCTCTTCGTCGATGACCTCTCTCCGCCGCCTGTCCAGGCACACAATCCGCTCACCTTCCACCATCTGGGCGAGGTCTTTGTCAGGGGAGCAGATGATGATGCGCTGAACGGAAGGGTCGCCACGTAACCTGCTCACTGCTGTCGCAATGGCGTCGTCGGCTTCGAACTCGACCATGGGCCACACGGGTATGCCCAGCGATGCGACGGCCTGCTCCGCCAAGGGGAATTGCTCCAGCAAGTCCGGAGGAGTTCCTTCGCCCGTTTTGTAGCCGTGGAACATGTCGTTGCGGAACGACCGGATTACGCTGTCGAAGGCACAGGCAATATGAGTGACCTGGTTTTCACGTAGCAGGCTGAGCATACTCTGCACGAGTCCTCGAACCGCGCCAACGGGCATCCCGTCTGGAGATTCCAGCTTGGGCAAGGCGAAGTAGGCGCGAAACAGCTCGTAGGTTCCGTCAACCAGGTAGATTTCCAATTGCCAACCCCTCTCTGTCGCTGCCGGATGAATTCAGGTGGCGGGAGGTTTATTATGCAGCGGAAGATACCACAAAGGGGCAGGAATGCGTCCTGCCCCTTTTCATGTGCGCTCATTCTATGAAGTGGACGAACCTTAATCTGGGGATCACAAGTGGTGTCAGGGGCAGTCCCTTGATATAGGGTTTGATGATGTAGCTTTCCCCGTTGGAGTGCCATAGTGGGGCCCAAGGTGCTTGATCGATGATCAATTGCTCAGCCTGGTTGTAGAGCGCAAACCGTGCTTCCTGATCCTGCTCTACCCTGGCCTTCTCCAGTATGGCGTCCAGTTCCGGATTGCTGAAGGCGGTGTGATTGTTGTCGCTTTCACTATGGAACAGTACGTCGAGAAAATTCTCCGGGTCAAGGTAGTCGGCGACCCAGCCCAAACCTCCGAAGATCTGGAACCGCCGGTCCCGGAGGTCCTGCAGATATGTGGCCCACTCGGTCTGCTGCAGGTCCATCGCGATTCCCAGTTGTTCCTCCCAGGTGGCGAGAATGGCTTCCATGGTGGGGCTGACCGGCGAACCGAAAGACCCCGGGATAGTAAGGGTGATGCGGGGATACGTTGACGTGTCGCTACCGTACTTGGACTCCGCCAACAGGCGTTTTGCCTTTTCGATGTCGTACTCGTATCCATCCAGGTCCGGGCTGTAGCTTGGGAAGCCCGGCGGCAGGATGCCACTGGCAGGCGTTACGACGTTATTCAACAGAACGTCGGCCAGGGTGTCCCGGTCTATGGCGTAGTTCAGCGCTTGGCGCACCTTTGCGTCATCGAACGGAGGCTCCTCGGAGTTCATCCCGAAATAGGACACGTCGAAATCTGCCGGGCCCAGGTGCAGCTCACTACGCAGCGGATGCGAGGGGTCTTCCAGTGATTCGATGAGCGCGAGACCGGCGCGTCCCCAGTGGATCTCATCGTTCTCGTACATCAGCAGTCCGTCGCCGCCGGCGAGATTAAATTCCACTGCGTCGAGATATGCGGGTTCCAAATGGTAGTCCTCGAACCGTTCGAGTCGCATGATCACGCCCGGCTCGTATTCGGCGAGGACGAACGGGCCGGTGCCGTTGGGAGACCTGATCCAGTCCCGTCCTGTCTCCACGTTGTTCCTGTCCACCACGAAAGAGGTTGGGTATGTCAACTTGGCCAGCAAGTATGGCTTCGGGGCATCTATGTCTATTCGGATGGTAGAGTCGTCAATGATGTTGATGCCCGAGACCGAATCTGACTCACCATTGAGCTTTTCCGAAGCACCAATGATGTCTCCCAGGAAAACATCCGCGGCCGGAGCTTCTGTGACAGGGTCCGCCGCCCGCTCGATGGACCATTTGAAGTCGGCCGCCGTAACGGACCGTCCATCGTGAAACCGCGCGTCAGGATTTAGGGTGAAGACGTAGCCCATTCCATCAGCATCGATGGTCCAGTCCCTGGCCAAGTCAGGAACGATGGCCAGGTTAGGGTCGATGGAGAGCAGCCCACCAAACACCTCCAGTATGTAGCGAGACGAAGTCACGTCCCCCGTCTGGTGGGGATCCAGAGTTGGAGGATCGCTGCCAAGGACATTCAGCACACCGCCCAGCACCAGCTCTCCTTCCGACTCCGTGTTTGACGAAGCCCCGCTTCCGGCTCCAGCCAGGGGGTGCGGGGTAGGAGCTACCTGCGCGCTGGTAGTGGGGGGTCTGACCTCCGTCGGGGTGGCTGCGGGAGCCGCCGCCGTTGTCGGAGCCGAAGTGGGAATCGATGGCGATGAGGCTGGCACCGGGGTCGCCGTTGCCTGCGGATTCACAGCAGGATCCGATGTTGGGGCTTCGTCAGAGCCGCAGGCCACCAGAACGCTGCCAAGCAGCAATGCCGTCAGCAACAGGATAACTCTCATTTGAATACCTCCTGCGGATACTTCCAGCGGCGTCTTAAAGTTGCCGCAAGTTTTCGAATTTCGAGAAAGTCAGTGGGTTTATACAGAGAGGCGCCGGCCGAAAGTGTTACGTTCAGACCTGTCGCAAGATCCCAGTCTGGAAAGCTTGAATCAGAATATCAGTGCAATTCCCAAGTTGCCACTCAATTGTAAATGGGTTGTGAGATATAATCGCCGACGCAAAGGAATCCTCGACGCTCCGCCAATTCCCTCCATAAATTTTGGCAGTCCGAGCGAGATAGCAAGGAGGCCCCCCGTGAAAGAGATAATGCTGGACTATTCGAAGCAGTGCGGCGACGAGCCGGAAAAGGGGCACAATCGCTGGCATCCTGACATCCCGCCCGCGGTGCGCGCCGACGAGGGCGAGGAAGTAGTGATGCAGACGCGCAATGCCTTCGATGGACAGATTACGCCCAACACCCAGGCGCCGGATTTATTGCGGACGGATCTGGGTCTGGTTCACCCTCTTACCGGCCCTGTCTATGTAAACGGCGCCGAACCTGGCGACCTGCTGGAAATCAACATACTTAACATCGAGCCAGCATCGTGGGGCTTTACTACCATCCTGCCCGGCTTCGGATTTCTCCGCGACCTCTACACCGAACCATTTATCTGTCACTGGGAAATGCGCGACGGCTACGCCCAGTCCGAACAGTTGCCCGGTGTCCGGGTCCCTGAGGCGTCGTTCATGGGCACTATCGGCGTGGCACCCTCACGGGCGTTGCGGCAGGAAATACTGCTGCGGGAAGACGAGCTGCTGCGGAGGGGTGGCGCCGTGGTCGGCCCGACGCCAGCCGGAGCGGTACCGGCACAGGAACCATTTGCATCCGAAGGGCTCCGCACCATCCCGCCCCGGGAGCATGGGGGCAACGTGGACATCAAGCAACTGACAGCGGGCACGCGCCTGATGCTGCCGGTGTTCACCGAGGGGGCGCTGTTCTCGGCGGGCGACGCTCACTACGCCCAGGGCGACTCCGAGTGCTGCGGGACGGCGATAGAGATGGACTGCACGCTGCACGTGAGCTTCACGGTGCGAAAGGGTGAGGCAGCCAGCCGCGGCATCAACTTCCCTTACTTTGAGCGGGACGACTATTTCACGACTCCCGAGATGGCGGCGCCACGCCGGTTTATTGCCTCTACGGGTATGTGCATCGCCGACGGCGTCAACGAGTCGGAGAATGGCACTCTGGCCTCCCGCCAGGCACTGCTGAACATGATTCACCTGCTTATGGAGCGGGGCTGGAGCCGTGAGCAGGCCTACTGCATCTGCAGCGTGGCCGTTGACCTTAAGGTAAGCGAGGTGGTGGACGTCCCCAACTTCGTCGTCTCAGCGTTCCTGCCGCTGGACATCTTCACTGACTAGGGTGACGTTTGGAGCCACTGCCGGGAACTACCAGATGGATTGAAAGAAAAGTCCTCTCGACAGTGCCGAGACCTGATTTGATGAATTGTTCTTGCTGTGGCCTACTTACCCCGCTCCAACGGACATAAGGTATACTTCCCGCAGTTTCGCTCAGTAACATTACCCAAGTCTTTTGAAGGGAAAGGAGCATACTTATGCAGTTTGGCCTTTTATACGAAATGCAGCGCCCCTATGACGACGAAATCGACTGGCACGCACTCTACCAGGAGACCCTGGCGCAGTGCGAGCTTGCCGACCAGGTCGGGTTCGACAACCTCTGGTTTGTTGAACACCACTTCCTGTATGGCTTCTCCGGCTCCCCGTGCCCGGAGGTGATGTTCGGCGCGCTTTCGCAGCGCACCAAGAACATCCGAATAGGGTTCGGTGTGTCCATTCTGCCCAACCATCACCCGGTCAGGATCGCAGAGCGGGCCGCGATGGTCGACCAGCTCACCCACGGCCGCGTGGAGTTCGGCACCGGCCGCTCCAACGCCTACGAGCAGTTGGGCCAGGGCATCGACCCCCGCGAGACCCGCGACCGGTGGGACGAGGCCATCAACATGATCCCGCAGATCTGGCAGACATCCGGCGAGTTCTCTTGGGAGGGCAACTTCTGGAACGTTCCGCCCCGCCGGTTTTGCCCCAGCCCTACCAGAAGCCTCACCCCAGGATGTACCTGGCCTGCACCCAGACTGAGAGCTTCCGTCTAGCCGCCCAGAAGGGCATCGGCGTGCTGTCGTCGGCCTCCTACGCCGTGGACGTGCTGGCCGAACACGTCAAGGTGTATCGCGACGCCATCAAGGACGCCGACCCGGTGGGCGCCGAAATCAACGACTTCTGGGCCAATAACGTCCATTCCTTCTGCGCCAAGGATGACCAGGCAGCGAAGGAACTGTGCGCCGAGTCCATGAAGACCTTCTTTGGCCCTGACAAGCCCTACATCGCGGGCAGGATCAATGCCTACGAGGAACTGCTGGAGGCGTGGGGCGGTGTGCCGGATCACCTGCAGGCCGACTTCGGACGCTGGCTCCGCCAGTCCGACGAGCAACACCAGGCCCAGGCCGCCGAGGCGGGCATATCCCTGGACAGCGGCCCCGGCGCCGCCCGTGCCGCTGTGGCCCAGCTCGATGCCAACATCCTCGCCGACCGCGGTGTCATCATCGCCGGCGACCCGGAGAGCTGCATCAAGACCATCAAGACCTATGAAGACATAGGCGTCGACCAGGTGATGCTGATCATGCAGACGGAAACCATCCCTCACGACAAGGTGATGGAATCCATCGAACTGTATGGGAAGGAAGTCATCCCCGCCTTCCGCAACGGCGGCAACGGCAAGTAAGCCCGGCTTTCCGATACCAGAATCGCGTAGGGGCGCACTGCTGTGCGCCCCTACCTTTTAGCATGACGTTGACATAACGAATGACTCTCCCCACTACGGCCAGTTCTCCCTGGATTTCTACCGCGAGCGCGCCAATGAATACGCGGCGTTGCGACAGGTCTTCGCCAACCGCTCTCACCCGGATTTCCGTGAGGACCGCGACCTGTATTGTAGACTGGCGGAACTTGCTAGACCCGGGCCGGGTCTGGATGCGGGATGCGGCGCAGGGGCGCTGGAAATGTCGTATCTCGCTCAGCTGGGATTCGAGATGTACGGGTTGGACGCCGTGGTGGAGAACATTGAGGTCGCCCGCGCGATCCGTCCCGAGTTGGCAGACCGCCTGCAGGTTGCCGACCTCCAGGGCCCATTGCCTTTCGACGAATCCAGCTTTGAGATAGTGATTTGCAACGCCGTCATCCAGCACGTTCCCAGTGAGGTGGCGTTTGACCGGGTACTGCCGGAGTTCGCCCGTGTGCTGCGGCCCGGCGGTGTGCTGCAACTGATGTTCAAGCCCGGCCATGGCGTCGCAACGGCGATCGATGGGGCCTACGGTACTGACGGAGTGGCCCGCAGTTTCCAGTTGTATGACGAGCAGGAACTGCTGGAGGCACTGTCAGTCCTCGGCCTGCATCTTATCGAGGAAGGGGATGACGGGAAGATGGGCGGTCTGGTCTATTTCGACGATAACAAGCCCATGCGCCATTGCATCTTCTGGGCCCGGAAGGGCTGATCGCCCTTCAAGACACCCACGCGCTAAATCTGTGGCTCTCCTCTATCCACCCTTGGCTCCGGCAATGTCACGGCGAAGGAACATGAAAATGGCGGCGGCTGCGAGCAATGCTATGTAGACGGTGGTGACGATGAAGCCGTGCGCCATATCCGATATGCCACCTATGGTGGCTATTTCGCTACCGGGAGGGGCCCCGCCCTCAATGTTCTGCCAGGCATCGACACTGGTGCCAAGCAAGTAGGCGAAGACCTGGTCGGACCAGTCGAATATGGAGAGGATAGGAACCAGGATGACTGACTCAGCTATGAAGTAGCCCAAAGACAGCCCGATGCCAACCCCGTTGGAGGTGGTCAGCACCACCAGGAACAGTGCCAGCATGATGTAGGGTACGAAACCGTAAACCACCCTGCCGAACAGTGCCAGTAGGTTTACCCACGAAATTGCCCCGTACCCCTCGACCTGGGGGTCGGCGGTGAGAACCGCCTCGGCGATGAAGCCGCTGATCATGACCGTTACGGACAGTATGAGCAGAATGGCGACAGTTACCAGCACCACCACAGCGGCTTTGGATGCCAGGAACGGCCAGCGCCCGGCTCCCCTGCTAAGCACAGGACGCAATGTACCCCAGCCGTATTCCCCGCCCAGCACGGCCGCCGCCAGAATGACGGCGATGAACGGGCCTAAGAAGGACGAGAAACCCAGGCCGTTGGCGATATTCTCGGCCGGCGACTGATAGGACACCTCGTCGCCGAGTGTTGCGACCAGCCAGAACAGGAGCTGTGCGATCACCAGCACGAAGCCAAGCAGTATCCACGGCACCCATCGACGTTGCAGTTTGAACCATTCCCAGCGGGTCAGAAGGGCAACCTGCATCACCATAGCCATCACGGGTCCCCTTCCGTTACGTCCAGGAAGTACTGCTCCAGCGACATCTGGGCTGGTGCCATCTCTGCCACATAGACCTCGTTGCGGCTGAGCGCAGCGGTTATCTCCCACGAGCGGTCCGCTTCCACGCTGGCAACCAGGTAGCCGTTGTCCGCACTGATGCCGTCTACCCAGGCAAGTGCGGTCAGGATCTCCCATGCTTTGCCGTCGTTGGTAGTGCGCAAACGCACCTGCGGCCTGCCCCGCTCTTGCAGCAGATCGGCGACGTCGCCCTGGGCGATGAGCCGTCCGTGGGACAGGATGGCCACGCTGTCGCAGACCTGCTCCACCTCGTTCAGCAGATGGCTGGACAGGATGACAGAGCGGTTTTCGCTGGCCAAGCCGCGAATCAGGTCCCGTACCTCGGCCATGCCCGCCGGGTCCATGCCGTTGGTCGGCTCGTCCAGCACCAGCAGTTCCGGGTCGCCCAGCAGGGTGTAGGCCAGGCCCAACCGCTGCTTCATGCCCAGGGAGTAGGTCTGGAATTTGTCACCGCCGCGCCCGCCCAATCCCACCTGTTCCAGCAAGAGGTCGAGCTCCTGCGGATTGCCGCGGCCCGAAATGCCCTGAAAGTAAGCAAGATTGTTGCGCCCGGACAGGTAGGGATAGAAGGTGGGGGTCTCTATGAGAGCGCCGATGCGGTGCAGCTCCCTGTCCAGCCCGCCTTTCTCCAGCAAATTGCCAAAAAGTGAGAAACTACCAGCCGTGGGCCGTACCAGGCCAAGCAGCATGCTCATCAGCGTCGTCTTGCCCGATCCGTTGGGACCCAGAAGACCAAAAATGCGGCCCCTAGATACGTCCAGTGACAGCCCGTCCACCGCCAGAACGTGCCCATACCTCTTGGTCAGGCCGTCAGTCCTGATTACCGAGTCATCCATGGGAACTCCCGCCATTGTCGCCCTAAGAGCATACTTTAGTGACGGATTTCGAACAAGGGGAGTCAGACTGGAGGTTGCCAATGCAGGGCCCTCTCGAGGTTCGAGAGGTATTCGGTGAATGCAATGCGCCCGGCCGGAGTCGCCTCCACCCATGTTCGGGGTTTGGAGTCGACGAATTCCTTGGCAATTGACAGAAAACCGGCATCCCCCAGCTTGCGAAGGTGAGTGGTCAGGTTGCCGCCGGTGAGACCAAGGGTCTGCTGGATGAACCCGTAGGCCAGCCGCCCACCGTCCGGTTGGGAGACCAGCATGGTCATTACCCGCAGCCTGGTGGGCTGGTGGATGGTCTCGTCCAGGAAGATGTCCCCGGTGCTCACGGCTGACCGCTCCGGTGGATCCAAGCCGCGCCGAGCACCGTCACGGCCAGCATCCCTGCACCTGTGCCCAGGGCCGAGAAATCACCGGCAAAGTAGGCGGGCAGGTAGAAAGCCGCTGCCATCCCCACACCAACCAACGCCAGTGCCGGGAGGTGCATGATGCCGAACAGCACATAGCCTAGAGATATGATCCCGATGGTGACATGGGGTATTTTCTCCGCCCCCTCCGCCGACCATAGTCCAGCGGTGCCGGATACAAGAAATGCTGCAGCAACCACCGCCATCCAGAAAGCAAACACCCTGAGCCCTGCTGCGCGAGCGGTGGCATAGTCTGCGTATCGCGAGAGTTCGCGACGTCCGATCAGGGCGCTGCCGATCATGCCGGGGGTGCCGATGATTCCCCAGAGCGGGCCTCGGTACCAGGGGTAGCTGGCCTCGAAACCCGGAGCAAGTTGTCCAATGGCGAACAGAGCGAAGAAATAGATCGACACGATGGCGCCCCAGAGGAGCAGTATGTACGCTGTTCCTGCGAGATATAGGGAACTTTGCGCCTGGGCCAGGGTGGCGTGTATTGTGCGCCAGCTCTCCTCCGGTGTGATATCGCTCCTGCCGCCTTCCACCCGTTGCATCTCGTGCCTCCTCGTTTCATCCTGATTCCATCCTGACAGGGCGAGAATATACTACAAACTATTTCGTATCACAAACTATAATCCCATTGATTTTGGCTCCAAGCGTCTGCACGGGATGCACTGCGTTGAAAACGGCGATCGGCAATCTATAATGCAGTACCAGAATCAGGAGAACAAATCAGGAGGCCATCATGCAACTGGGAGCCATCTTTCCGCAGACCGAGATCGGGGCCGACCCCGCTGGGGTGCGCGATTTCGCTCAGGCCGCCGAGGACCTGGGCTACGAACACCTGCTGGTGTTCGACCACGTGCTGGGCGCCGACGCCAGCAAGCGAGATTCGTGGGAGCGACCCTACAGTTCGGTGGATACGTTCCACGAACCCTTCGTTCTCTTTGGATACCTTGGAGCCATCACCCAGAAGCTGGAGTTCGTTACCGGCGTGCTGATACTGAGTCAGCGTCAGACCGCCCTGGTTGCCAAGCAGGCCGCCGAGGTGGACGTGCTGACAGGTGGCCGCCTGCGCCTCGGCATCGGCGTCGGCTGGAATGACGTTGAGTACGAGGGGCTTAACGAGGACTTCAGCAACCGGGGGCGCCGCTCCGCCGAGCAGATCGAGGTCATGCGCCAGCTGTGGACCCAGGACGTCGTGGACTTCCACGGCCGTTACCACAACATCACCCACGCCGGGATCAACCCCCGGCCAGCGAAGTCTATCCCCGTCTGGTTTGGCGGTGGGGCGCCCCAGGTGGTGCGGCGCATCGGCCGGATGGGCGATGGCTGGTTCCCCCAGTTCCAGCCCGACGGCGAGGGCGCCGAGCGCATCGCTGAGATGCGACAGATCGCGGTGAACGCGGGCCGCAACCCGGCGGACATTGGCATCGAGGGCCGCGTCGGCATCGCAACCGACGAACAGGACAACTGGGGCAAGCGGCTGACATAGCGGGGAAGAACTAGGACCAACCCACCCCCCACAACCCCCCCCCCCACAACACCCCCCCACCCCCCCCCCACCCAACCCCCCCACCCAACCCACCCACCCAACAAACACCCCACCCCCCCCCCCCCCACCCCCAACACCAACCCCCCACACCCCACAAACACACACCAACCCCCCCCACACCCCAAACCCACACACCAACCCCCCACACCCACCCACCCCCACCCCCCCACCCAACCCCCCCAACCACACAAACAACCACCCCCCACCACCACCCACACCACCCCCACCCCCACCCCCACAACCACACCCACACCCCCCCACCCCCCCCCAAAACCCCCCCACAACCCCCACCCCACACCCCCCCCCCAACCCACCCACCCCCCCCCCCAACCCCAACCCCACCCCCCAACCCCAACCCCCCCCACCCCCAAACCCCAAACCCACACACCCCCCCCCAAAACACCCACCACCCCCACACAAAACCACCCACACCCCCAACCCCACACCACCCCACCACCCCACACCCAACACACCACACCCCCACACCCCCCAACCCACCAACCCACCCACACCCACCCCAACACCCCCCCAACCCCACCACACCCACCACCCACCCCCCCACCCACCCACAACCCCCCCCCCCACACACCCCCAACCACACCCAACCCCAAACACCACCCCCCCACCACACCACCCCCCCACACCCCCCCCAACCCCCACACCACCCCCCCCCCAAACCCCACAACACACCCCACACCCCACCACCCCCACCCACACCCCCAAAAACAACACCCAAACCCCCCCCCACCCCCCAACCACCACACACCCCCCACACACCCAACCACCCCCCACACCCACACCCAAAACACCCCCAACCAACCCACCCCAAACAACACCAACCACCCCCCCCCCCCCACACCAAACCACCCCACCCCCCACAACCCAACCACCACCCACAACAAAACCCCACCCACCCCCCCACCACAACACCCCACCAAACCCACCCCCCCACACCCCAACCCCAAACCCCCCCACCCCCACCACCCACACAACACCACCACAACCCCCCCCCCACCCCACAACAACACCCACCACAACACACCAACCCCCCCCCCCCCACAAACACACCCCCCCCACAACCCCCCCCCCCACCACAAAACCCCCACCCCCCCCCAAACCCCCCCACCCACACCCCCAACCCCCCAAACCCCACAAACCCCCCACCCCCCAAACACCAACAACACCACACACCCCAAACACCCCACGCACCTGCGCGTCAACAACACCCCCCCCCCCCCTGCGTGCCGGATGAAGGGCCTGACCAGCACATCGAGGCCATCCGCCGTTTCAAGGAGACGGTCTCCGGGTAGGGCCGACACAGGTTTCCCGAAGACACAGGCAGGGCGTGGATGAAAGCATCCGCGCCCTGCCTGCTTACGGAACCAGACTTCAGGACAAGGGCAGCGCGCTGTTGCTCTTCCCGCCGCCTATCGCGATAACCCCTGTGGCGTTGAAACCTGCGATGGCAACCACGCCGATGGCGTTCACCCCGCCTATGGCAACCAGTCATGGCATTGACGCCCCCGATGGCAACCAGGCCCATGGAGTTGATCGGGCCGAAGGACACCAGTCCCATGGCATTGAGGAGGCTGAGTGCCGCAATCCCGAAAGAGTTGTAGAGACCCGCTGCAACGATTCCGACGGCGTTCTGGCCAACTGCAATGATGCCAACGTCGGCCCAACCGAGGGCAGGAAGCCTCTTCTGGGATGTGGTTTCCTCCATGCTAACTCCCGTATGGTACGTCCAGATTTCTGCGGCGCTATGCCCGGAACATCTGCACGACCCGGTCCAGGATCCGGTTGCCGACCTCGTACTTGGTCAGCAGCGGCAGCTCGTCGATGTTCATATCCCGATCGATGAGCGTGACTCGGTTGGTGTCGGTGCCGAAGCCGCTGCCCTCGCTGGTGATGTCGTTGGCGGCGATCAGGTCCAGGGACTTGGAGGCCACCTTGGCCCGGGCGTTCTCGACCAGGTTTTCGCTCTCGGCGGCAAATCCCACGCGAACGAAGTCACCCCGGGCCGTTGCAAGGATGTCGACGGTCTTGGCTAGCGCGATGCTCAGATCGTCGTCGGTCTTTTTGATCTTCTGGTCGGCGGCTGAGAGGGGCCGGTAGTCGGCAACGGCGGCGGCCATGATCAGGGCGTCGGCGTCTTCGGTACGGGCGAGCACCGCGTCGCACATCTGCTGCGCCGTGCTGACAGGCACCACGTCCACCAGCGGCGGGTTGGGCAACCCCTTGGCGGCGGACACCAGCACCACCCTCGCGCCCCGGTCGCGGGCAGCCTCGGCCACGGCGTAGCCCATTTTGCCCGAAGAGTGGTTGGTGATCACCCGCACCGGGTCGATGGGCTCGGCGGTGCCCCCCGCGCTCACCACAATGGTGCGGCCCTTGAGGTCGCCGTTACGGCCCAGCGTATAGGCGATATAGCCCAGAAGCTCAGGCGTTTCCAGCAGCCGCCCCCAGCCGACTAGACCGGAGGCCAGCCGTCCCTGTCCTGGCCCGGCGATGACCGCGCCGCGCTGCCGCAGTCGTTCCAGGTTCTCCTGGGTGGCCGGATGCTCGAACATATCGGCATCCATCGCAGGCGCCATCATCAGCGGAGCCTTGGAGGCCACAACAGTTGTTGTGAGTGGGTCATCGGCCATTCCCATCGCCAGCTTGGCGATGGTGTGGACCGTTGCCGGGGCGACAACAATGACATCTGCCTGCCTGGCCAGTTCCACGTGCTCCACAGCGTATTCAGAGCCGGAGTCAAAGGCGTCGGTAACCACTGGCCGGTGAGTTAGGCTGCGAAAGGCAAGTGGGGTGACGAACTGCGTCGCACCGTGGGTCATGATCGTATCGACGAGCGCCCCCGCCTGCGTCAGCTTGCTGGCCAGGTCGAGGGCCTTGTAGCAGGCGATGCTTCCTGTGACTCCCAGTACAACCCGCTTTCCGCTTAACACGCTGTACCCCCGCTGGCCTAGTCCGGGTTCTTGTTCAGTTCAAAGATCTGCTGCAGCCCGATGAGCGTCAGGTTGGGATTGATGTGGTCGAAAATGCCGGTCTCCCGGGAGATAATATTGGCCAACCCACCAGTGGCGACCACGGTGGCAGCGCCGCCCAATTCACCGGTGATGCGTCCGACGAGGCCCTTGACCAGTTCGGCGTAGCCCAGCACCAGACCGGCCTGCAGCGCCGCGGTGGTGTTCTGGCCGATGGCAGATGTGGGGGGCGTCAGCTCGATGCGGCGCAGTTGCGAGGTGTTGAGGAACAAGGCCTCTGCGGCCACGCTGATTCCGGGCGCGATGGCGCCGCCCAAGTACACCCCTTCCGCCGATATTGCATCGAACACCGTGGCTGTGCCGAAGTCCACGATTATCGTGGGGTATCCATACAGGCTCTTCGCTGCTACCGCGTCGGCGATGCGGTCAGCCCCCACGTCGCGGGGGTTGTCGTAGGCGATCTGAAGACCGGTCCGAATCGCGCCCGTTACTGTCAGGGGCCGGACGCCAAAGTAACTTGACGCCACCTCCTCGAACACTCCGGTCAGCGGCGGCACCACACTGCACATAGAGACCTCGGTGATCTCTTCCCGCTGCACGCCGTTGAGTTGCAGGAGGCTGGTCAGCAGCAGGCCGTACTCATCGGTCGAGCGACGGGAATCCGTGGCGGCCCGCATAGTGGAAACCAGCCCGGAATCGCCGAAAACGCCGATGGTGACCATGGTATTTCCGATGTCGAGAGCGAGGAGCATGAACTGCATTCCGATTACGAAGTGAGGCTAAGCGCGAATAGACAAGGGTGCCCGCAGGTCCGCTACGCCTGCGAATCGTGAGGATTATATGCCTACGCGGAAAAGGGGGGCAAACAGGGCCCAAATCGGGGCCGAATGCCTCAACACATCAAGACTCTATTATCGTATGTAACTTATTTTTGACGTTGACTTACCAGGCAATCACAATGCTGGGTAGGAGACATCGAGATGGAGGGACTAGAATCGCTTGGGCGTGAAACGTGGGAGGATCCCAGTGAAGGTCCTTTACGATCTTTTGGTCATTCCAGGTCAATGCATATAGCTGGCACGGTCGGCTCGTCGAAGGCTGGAACGATAGGCGCCTGGACGGCATGTCGGTATGGATGTCCTCGGGGAACGCGTGTCAGACATTGCTGCAAATCTGCAACCTTTCCCTCTCCTCTGGCTCCATCACGCACAGCTTGAAAGGCACCTGCTACTTCACATGGATCTCAGCGTGCATCGGGTAGCGGGCGATAACGTGGGAGTAGACGTAGCTCCGGCCGCCGTCGGCGTTGTGATCCAAAGTCCACTCTCGGGACGGGTTCGGATGTTCTCTGAATGGGAGGCCGTGCCAAAAGACGACAATGGGCCCGGAGAAGGACATGGACGCTTCTGTCACTCTCACTTGTCTGGAGAATCTATTTGCGCATCGGCGATCTGCCCGTAGAAGTAGAATAACCTGACTTGAGCTTGGGTGCTCCATAGCGGCCAGCAATTCATCGCGGACCCCAAATATGTCAGTCCGTATTCGTTCTCCCATCTCGCTGGAAATCCTGGTCTCCGGGTCATACTTTTCGGCCCAGCCGGTCACCGCCAGCAGCACCGGCAGCAGGTCCTTTCCCTTTTCCGTCAATTCATACAGGACCTGCCGCCCGTTGGCCGGGTCCTTTCGACGGCTGATGATCTGCTGCGCTTCCAGTCGGCTCAGGCGGTCGGACAAGACATTCGTCGAAATGCCTTCGCCGGCATCCAGGAAGTCCTGGAACCGGGTGAAGCTACGGAACATCATGTCGCGGATGATTAACAGGGACCAGCGGTCCCCGAATACACCCAGCCCAAACCGGATCGGGCATTGATTGGGCTCGTAGATCATACGCCTAGCATACCGATCTTGGAATTTCCTTGCAAATAACAAGTGTTCCTGTAAAATTGCTTGCAAAATACAAGTGATAGCAAGGGTTCCGGGAGTCACCTCGATGAACCGTTCGATCACACTGGCAGACTGGGGCCTGCTCCTCGGGGCATCGGTGCTCGTCGGCACACACTTCCTGTTCATAAACATCGCTGTCAAGGAAATCTCGCCGTTGGCCATCGCGACGCTCCGGGCGCTGATCTCGGCGCTCATATGCTGGGTCGTGATGCGGGCTACGGAGTACGCCTGCCACGCACCCGCCGGGGATGGACTTCGCTGTTCTGGCTGGGCTGCTGACGTGCGCGATCCCCTTCAGCACGGTCGCCTGGGGACAGCAGCATATCGAGAGCGGCATGGGCGGCATACTGTTCGGCACCATGCCCATACTGGCGGTGGTGACTGCGCCCCCTGTTCCTGGCCGAGGAAACCTTCACCCGCAGGGCGCTGGTGGCGGCGTGTGGTCGGGTTCGCCGGTATCATCCTGCTGATGGGTCCGTCGGTGCTGGCCAACGCCGCAACCAGATCCTGGGTATCGTCATTACTTTTCTCGGCCCCGTAAGCCACACGATGGGCTGCGATCTATGCCCGCCGGCAGACCGACCTGAACCCGCGGGCAATGGTCACCGGCTCCATGATCTTCGGCAGCGTGGTGCTGGTGCCAGCTGGCGTTTGCGGTGGAGGCACCCCTCACGCTGGACCCCGGTATGGGAGCGATCGCCGCCATAATCGCCACCGGAGTCTTTACCGGGGCGGGTTTCTGCCTGTACTTCCTGGTAATCAGCCGGGTTGGGGCCATGCGCAGTTCGCTGGTGCCGCTGTTCTTTCCGGTGGTTGCGGTGGTGCTGGGGCCATCGTGCTGGGCGAGCGGCTGCCGCTCGAGGCCTTCATCGGTCTGGCGCTGATCATGGCCGGCGCGCTTGCTGTCAGCAGCCGTGCGCCGGCCAAGCCGCCCGCACCTGCAGTGCCCAGCCCGCAGCCCCAGAACTAGCGGCGTCCATGCGACCAAGAGTCGAGTGTACGCAGACGTCATGCAAACGGCCTCGCCTGGGGCCAGCGGGCCCGACAGCCGAACGGTCCTTTACCATCGTCCGCGACTGCATCGCAGCCCAGTTTCCAGTTGAAAGGGGAATAGCAAAATCGACACTCAAGTGCTGCAGGCAAGGGCAAGAGAAGTAAACAAGGCGCTGTTTCTTGCGGGCCTTTTCGTGGCCGTCTTCGGCGCCATGAACTCGACCTTGATGATCACCGCTCTACTGGTCGAGATATCGGACGATATGCAGGTCTCAGTTGCGGCCGCCGGGCAGTTGGCTACCGCCACCTTTGCCGCCTGGGGTGTCTCGGTCTTTTCCGTCGGCCCATTGTCCGATTCCTTCGGCCGTCGCCCCATTGCCCTGGCCGGTATGCTGCTGATCACCGGGTCCCTGATCGGAGGTGCGTTCGCCCCGAATTCGAGACGCTGCTGGCGCTCAGGGTCCTCACCGGCCTGGGTGGAGGAATGATGCCTCCCTCTCTGGTGGGCGCTATTTCCGACGTTATTTCCCCGGAAAGGAGGGCTCGGGCGATCGGCGCACTTCTGGCCGTTGGCATGCTGGCAACGGTGGTCGGCGTGCCGGGCGTAGCCTTGTCGGCTGACTGGAGCGGATGGCAATTCGCTTTCGTCGTCTCGGGTTTGCTAACTGCCGCGGGCTTTGTTGCCTGCTGGTTTTGGCTGCCAAAAGACAGCGGGGAGCGCGCTCGCGACCTGGTCATTTTCTCCCGGTACTGGACCCTCATCCGCCTGGGTTTCTTCCAGGTGGCTCTGACGGTCAATCTCGCCCACCGCATCGCCTTCTGGGCCATCGTCAGCTTCTTCGCTGCATACATGATCCATACCTACGACGTGAGCCTGCGGTTCGTGGCTCTGCCTCTGGTAATAATAGCCATAGGCCAGGTGCTCGGAACCTACGCTGGCGGAGTTGTGGCAGGGAGCAGGCACCGCCCCGTCCTCATTGCCGCCCTCTGCGCCGCCGGAGGGGCCTGCGGGTTCCTGTTCTTCGCTGTCGATCTGCAACTCTGGGTGGCTGTTGCCGTGGCAACGCTGGCAACGGGTTTGCTGAGCGTTAGTTTCCCTGCCCTGGTGGCTGCCAGCACCGAGCACTCGGGCGAGAATCTAAGTCCACGGGTGGGCATGATGGGCCTGACCAACCAGTTGGGGGGCGTATTCGGCGCTGCGATTTCCGGCGGCCTCCTGGCGAGCACGGGCTACAGGAATGCGTACCTCTGCATCGTCGCCACGGTGTACGTGTATTGGCGGCAGTCCTGTTCTCCAGGCAGTTGCGCACATAGGCGGCGCACCTGACTGCCACAAACTGCGATCGGCGCTGCCCGCGTTGGCGCAAGTCTGATGACGCAAAGCGACAGACACACGCCTTTCTGCAGAATGAACCGATTAATCTGAGGAGCTTGCGCACCTCTTTTCCAGATCCTCGCTCTCGCGCCTTCGATCTACTACCGACTCCACGGGAAAGGTTCCATAATTTGCATTTAACCCGTACTCACAGATTGCGGGAGGGCGCGCCGCAGCATACCGGGCCCGGATTTCGAAGAAATCTCTAGTTGTTAACGGACTGTCGTCATTGCCACCCAAGGGACGGGGCCGCCCCTGAGCAGCCCTCGGGAAGATTGCAAAGCATCTTTGGTGATCGTGCTGAGCGAAGCGAAAGGTCTCTTCATCTCGGTGAGATTCTTCCCTTTGCTCAGATTGACAGGCTGCTACCACTTGCAATCTTCTTGTAGTACCTCGTTAGGCTTGCGGGCCCTCCCAACCCCTAATATTATCTGGCTGCACCCCAACTCTTGCGCTGGGCCGCCGTGGCCCGCATAGGAGTTCAAGGCAATGGCCGCCAAGATCGGAAGCCAACATAGCGGCTAGAAGCCCAGCGACAAGAAGGCCAGCGGGGGAGCGTGCTGCGTTGCGGGTGCAAACCCTCATATCGCGAAGGGCCCGATTGCATGCCCCGGTTCATTCCTACATCCCCGCAATGCCGGAGTGGAGAGCGCGTCCGGGCGAGCCCTCGACGATCTCATCGTGCGTACCGTGCCTCCCAAACGTGTCGCAAGGCGTAATGATGGAAACTCGCCCTGGTATGGCAATCGAGGGAAAGGGTGGTTGTGAGTTCCACGTCTTCTTCAGTCCCGTTAACGGTAAAAGGTGACCTTCCCTGAACTGGGCGGCTCGCTCCGTCCCGTTGCCACCCTGCTCCGTCAAGGGACAAGGATTTCGCTCTGGGTTGATATCCACGAATGCGAGCTCGGGAACGAGGACAGATGGCGGATGGGTTCCGCCAGTCGTCCGCCCCTGCCCTGCTGGAAAGTGTTCTAATGGGTGTAAATTCGCTGAGCTTGGCTTATACCAGTTTGCTAGATCTTGCTGAGAGTTTCCCCCGCCTCGTTCTTTGGTGATGATATTCACGACTGCCCGCGCATTAGTCGGCAACGAACTTCCGAGGCTTGACCAGAAGATTCGTTGCAACCAGGCTTGCCGAGTCTTTCATCCCGACTGCCAGGGGCGCTTTTGAGGCCCATAGGGTCCCAGGCCGTCTCTCAGAATGGGAACCCCCCTGCAAAAGTTCGCCATTCGTGCTCTTGCTTCCCACCCACCTCCGCGGCCCTGAAACGCGGTGTCCTGGCGAGCTGATGCTACGCTGCGTTCCGAGGCAACGAATTCTGCGCAAAAAAAAAAAACTGCCTCCTCGGTATTTTGCACCGATATTACCGCGCGACGGGCATTGGCCTGACATCCCAAATTGGACCCTCTACCCTGTCCAAACCGGACATGGTACCGATGCAATCTCGCCAATAAAGTTTTGCTGGAAAAATCTCACATAATATTTACAACTTCTTCATTCTGTCTCAAAACATGTACCGTAGCGACACCTTCGAAGAAATAAAGTGACAACCTGACTAGTAGTCCAACATCTTTGAAATGAGTACTGACCAAGTGTATTGTACCAAGCATAGGGCGAAGAGGATTGGGACGTGTGAGGAGGGGATGGCGATGAAGAGATACCGGGTCAAGCTGAGTGCGGAGGAGCGGCAGGAACTGAAGACATTGGTGTCCCGTGGCCGGGGGGCGGCTTACAAGCAGACCCACGGGCGCGTCCTGCTGCTGAGTGATGAGGCCCATGTGGACGGGGCCATGAAGGATGAAGACATTGCCCGGGTTCTCCAGATTGGCCGTGCGACGGTGGAACGGGTGCGCCGGCGCTGCGTAGAGGAAGGGATTGAGGCGGCGCTGGGACGAAAGCGGCAGGTTAACCGGCGTCCGAAGCGGTTGGACGGTCAAGGGGAAGCCCACCTGATTGCCTTGGCCTGCGGAGAACCGCCGGAGGGCCGGGCGAGTTGGACACTGAAACTGTTGGCCGACCGGCTGGTCGAATGCGAGGTAGTGGAGAGCATCAGCACTGAAACGGTGCGCCAGACGCTCAAAAAAACGAACTCAAGCCTTGGCTGAAAGAGTGCTGGTGCATCCCGCCGCAAGGCAGCGCCGAGTTCGTCTGTGCGATGGAAGACGTGCTGGAAGTCTATCAGCGCCAGTATGGGGACAACGAAGTTCTGGTCTGTCTGGACGAGACCAGCAAGCAACAGGTGAAAGAGACGCGCCGGCCGCGTCCGGCCCGGCCTGGGGCGGCGGGCTCCTACGATTATGAATACGAGCGCAACGGGGTGAGCAACCTCTTCATGTTGTTCGCTCCGCTGGAAGGGTGGCGCCGGGTGGAAGTGACGGACCGGCGCACGAAAGCCGATTGGGCCCGGGTGGTCAAGCAACTGGTGGACGA